CCAACCATGCAGTTTTACATTTGTTTATACACCTAAGGTATGGTGTAACCAGTCCTTGTGTACCTTGTGTATATACACAAGTTAATCACTGAAAACTGTTGATCATCACTGATGATTACCTGAAACTGTGGATATATGCAAGCATGCAAACAAGAAATCCTGTACACAAGAGAGTTCTCCATATGTCATTGAAAATAGATGTATGCTATCATTTCTATATTCCGTAACTTCTCTTAATTGAGATGATCATATTCTGTACAATCTATAGACATTCATACAATGCCATGAATGCATGATGATTTATTTTTTAATAAATGTATCAATCTAATATAGAGAAATTTAATAAGTTTGGATTCATGCATTTCCATAACAAAGAAACTCACAACCTTGGACTTCCTTTTTACATGTACATGATTGTTTTTATATTGTATTAATTAAGGAATAAATGCTATGAAAACAATGAACGAAAATGTTTTGTTGAGAAAAGTTTTTGTGTTTATATATATATAGTTTTTCTAGTTTATTTCCTGCGATTTTTACCTGGGAATTTTTTTTCAAAAGCAGTGTAGTTTTAGTAAATTAACTGAAATTATTGTTGTTTACTTACATTTGGATATATAAGGTGCATGAATTCAAAAATTGAAATTTTGAAGAAAATTCAGTTTGTTTTAACATATTTTTCCAATTATAGGATCATAATATGTATATATACATTCTAGTTGAATACTTTTTAAGTATATCAATAGATTAATACACAAATCCATAGAAAAGTTTCAGAATTAATTTTTATTAACCAGTGTTAACAGAATTTTATTTGAAAAATCAGAACTATTTTTATTTAAAAAGACAAATCTCCACCCAAAATTTGATCATATACATGTACAGACAGTCAGACCTTAAATTTAACTCATGTGGAAAGTTTAATAAGGCCAAAAAAATAATAGTCTTGTTTCCTGCTACCGGCCTGAAAAAAATAGGGTAGGTAGGTAGGAAAATTATTTTATTTTATATTTTTATTTTTTTTTTTTCGACAGCATTTTTTGGATATGAACTAATACAAGATCAAATTAAACATGTCACAAGTCAACGTTGTCTTTTAAAATTAAATTTCATCTCTTTTTATGCACAACTCAAGTGGTATTTTATGAAAGTCCATATTTAAAACAAGAATTTCATGAAATGCTTGTTTTGTGTTAACATGGAAACCGATTACGGTGACAGAACAATGAAATTCCAGAAATTCCCAATTTTTTTTCTTTCAAAACTTAAAAAAAACTTTAGGGTCGGGGGCTAAAAAATAGGGTAGGTCGGGTAGCAGGAAACAAGACTATTATTTTTTTTGGCCTAAATGATGTGTTAAAATTAATTCCCAACAAATTACTTAATATCAATTTATACAAGGCAATTCTGAAAACTATGAATAAGGCAAAAAAAAAAAAAGAATTTTGAAAGTGTTATTTTTTTTTTAAATACAAGATTTGGAAGTGATTCTATTTAACCTCATTTTGTTGCACTAGCTCCTGACTTCTGATATGTTTACAAAAAAAACATCATCTAAAATTTATAACACACTCATTTTTTTTTTATTTTGTAATTAAAGGCACTTCATTGTTTGGAAATTGTAAACCATTTATAGGTAGTTTTTCATACTTTCTAGACTTGAATGAGGATGCAAGTTTTTTTCCCCCCAAATCATCTATAGTTGCACTTCTGACATAAATAATTTATTTTATGTGTTAAATACCAGGGGCAGAAGGGGTTTTAAAAGAAATAATTTGAAAATGGCACGGTATGCATTTTCTCAACACAACTGCAAGCACTTTCAAAAGAAGATTTTTAAAAAAATGATGCTTTTTCACTATATTACCAATAGATCCTCACCCTACACCAGAACCCTTAGCTTACCCACAGGACATAAAGTTTCACAATTTTGTAAGAGGCACCCTTGCTCATATATGCATCACACCATGCATTTACTGGTAATATGTTTGCCTAATTTAATATCCTAGAGTAAAGAATATTTTGAAAGAAATAATGCTTTTTCACCAGATTACCCTAAAACCTGACCCCTGGGCCGCAAATTTTACAATTGATAGAGAGCTCAATTAATGCTTATTACATTCATGTCAACAGTTTGACTATTGGATTTCCAAGAGTAAAGAAGAAGATTTTAACAATTGCATATATTTTGATGGTTTTAGTCCCATCCTTCAAGCCCAGAAGGGGAGAGGGCTCAAGGACCATGAAATTTAAAATTCATGTTTCCCTTTACCTATAAAAACTGGTTAACTTTACCCATAAAACTGGTTAAAATTGGTTCAGTGGTTCAAAAGAAGCTGAAAATTTCAACATTTTATGACTAATGAACAACAAACATAAACAAATCACAATTGGTAGGTCACCTGAATGACTCAGGTGACCTAAAAAAAATTATATTTACAATAAACAGTTTACTTTATAATTTATAACAAATGAACATAAATCATATTTAGATTTATTAAGGTTGAATGGGATGTCATTTATTAATCTAAGTGGTTCTTTGGGTTTGTTTGTTGGGATTTCATCATGATCCTAAATGTCCCTTGGGGTTCTTTTATTCTTAATGTTTTGTATTATACAAATATACAATAAACAGTTATAATTCATAATTAACAAGTGCATTTAAACCATGAGAAGATTTTTTAAAAGTTGAATTGAGTGTCATTTGGATTTTCTTTCAGGTACCTTGGCTTATCCTAGTGGTACAGGGGTTATCATTAGGGTTCTTCTTGGATATCAACTTTTGGTTTGTGTATTGACTACTGCAATACACAATTAACCATTAACTTTTTGTACATCATAAAAAGATACAATAATTTAACTGTTCCTCTGAACTATAAATGCATAATTTAGCTTAAATAAGTATATTTACTTTTAAATTTTTAACTTGGATAACTGCTCTATATTTAAGATAATTAAAGTGTTAATTTGTCTTTCAAAAACATTTTTTTCTAATTTACAGGTGAATATAAACCATATTTAGAATAATTAAGGTTGTATATGGTGTCCCTGGGGTACCTTGTGGTATCCCTGAGGTTCCTTGTGGTATCCTTGTGGTTCCTTGTGGTACCTTGTGGTTCCTTGTGGTAAAAAGACGCACCCTATAACATTGCATGCAGGTATTTGATTGGAGATCATGCATTGTCATTTCTGGTCACTGACGAGTGAGATTTTTTTGAAAAAGGCAAAAAAGTGAAGGTTTTTGAAACTGATCATGAGCAGGGTGGATTGAGGGTTGAGAAGTACACATACGTACTTCGTTGAGTGATTATTTATCAGAAGTATTAAGGTCTGGAGTACTTTTCATGGTCGATCTGTTTAATAAGTAAATACTCTGAGTCAAAACAACATAAACAATTTTGAAAAAGCAAGAATAAATAAGTATATTAATGAGTGTGTACAGGTGTTGAAAAAACTCATTATCGAAAGTCAACAAACTGCGTGAATGGGGGCCCCCTTACAAGGAAAGGCTGAACAAGAATACATAAGATTTTGATGATCTGAGGTAAAACCCTCAATCCGAGCTTGAGAATGACCCATTGTTAGGTAAAGATATTCAGGGTGTTAGGCTGTGATAATAGGTAAAAAAAATTTCATAAAGTACTCTAAATCAGGCATATATTTCCATCTATTAAATGCATGTAACACTTGACAGTTCAGTGTTGATGTATCCTGGCTTGTATGGATGGTGGGGTATCAATGGATGTATAAAAGAAGAAAGGGGGGATTGTTAGCAGTGTGAAATGTTTTATGAGAATTGACATTTTATTGCATGATAATCAAAATCGTTCTTTACATAGCTAAGCCTGTTAGCCTTGTAATGTAGTGTAATCTTGCTGCACTCAAATATTCAATGGAAACCTTTTTTTGTTACATTTGGCACCCAGGTAAATTTTGCCAAAATAAGAAATGGAGATTTTCTCGGGTTTGATGCGAAGTGCCCTGTATCATATTGCTCAATATTTTTGTTGATTCTAATGCAGCCCTCTTTTATTTTAAAATTTTAATAAAATTCAAAGTTAAAAAGATAACTGTGTTGGTCAGAGTTGAATGAGAGTCCTGTTATTTAGGTTGATCTGTGATTGATTTTGCTCGTGTGGTAGCCATTATCACTTAGTTATTCTTCCTACAGAGAAATCCCATTATAAACACCAGAAAAACACTGTACATACATGTATAGTTCACTTATTACATGTGACAGATGACATCTAGAAAATTCCTGTGAACATTTCTTTAAAATCAGAATACCCATCTCCTCTATGAAGCTAACTAAGTTCTACACAAATTTACAGTGACTCATCCCTGTTGCTTCCATGCTACTTGTTATTTTGATAACTTTATTCTTCTACTAAGTCATGCCACTTTGAAGAATTTGTTCTTAGAGGACAAATTTTAGGGGGGGGGGGGGGGATATTGGTTTTTGTTCTTTTGGAGGTGTTAAAAAGAAGCATCTTCATGAACATTAATGATAAATGTTATTAAGGTCATACATGTAGATTTTTATACCCTCACTTGAAAAGCGTAGGTTGTATAGTGGTGGGGTGTACATCTGTCCGTCCATCCTTCCATCCATCCATTATGTTTTTGGGTACCCATCTCTTATCCTCCTATACCACTGAGTAAAATTTATTGATGCTTTCAAAGAATCTTTATTACATAGTGCCATTGTGCACCTCCTTAACTTTAAATTTTGGGCTTTCCCATAGTAAAAAAAAAAAAGGACTTTGCCATTATACACGCCTGGGGGGGGGGGGGGGGGGGAGAGAATCAATTTGTGATCTAATTAACTGCTCACAGTACCTCTAGTTCAGTTTCTATGACAACCATGAAGTCCATATTAGGGCTAAGAATTCATCAGAACTAAAATTTTTAATTACCATGGATAATAAATAAAGTATTTATTCATTAAGATGAGGAGAACACCACAGATTTTGTATCTAACAGTTTATATCTATCTACAGGTGTTCCAGGACCTGGGGACCGAGATTCTACAGGCAGCGTTTGAGGGTTACAATGCCTGTCTGTTTGCCTATGGACAGACTTCTACCGGGAAGACTTATACCATGATGGGGGCTAGAGTTAGTATTCTTTATAAAGTATAAGTACTGATACAAAGTTATTTATAAAGCTGACTAATATAAGTTAAGTGATCTGTGACTCCGAGAGTTGTAAAAAAGATATTATTCATTGATCTATGTTAATTTGGGTTATAATTTTTTTTTTAGCTTTTTTTAAATGATAATATATACTAGTACTGTATATGAATGCACAGACATGAAACTTGAATTCCATAAAACTAGTAGTTTTAAAGGTGAATAAAGGCAAAGAGAATTGGCCATTATAATTAGCTGAAATGAAAAGCATTCACAAAAAATGTTACGAAATATTTGCTAATTTTGTTCTTCATTTCTTAAGTTTTTTTCTTTTTATTTCAGGAAGATTATGGAATTACACCAAGAATATGTGAGGTAAAAAAATAGAATTCTGTTAATTATCTTAAAATCGTTATGGAATGGCTATAATTACAATAATGCAAGTCACACAGAGTAGAGGGATAGATTTTCATATGCTGAAAAAAGGTTCCTGCTTGCTGAAATGATTACCAAAGTACAAAGATAGTTTTTGAGGCAGACAAGAGAATTAGCTAAGTTTATTCCAGCTTAAATATTCTAGATACAGAAACATTTCGATCTTGTTTTAACTGATACTGTACAAAGTTCTACAAGGCTGTTTTACTTAAGAAGCTAGATGCAGACAGAAGTCAACAGGGGAATGTCGAGTTTTCCGTTTAATTTTATTTTAAGTACAACTTTGACCCTCCTATTTATGTTTCCGTTTGTCTCCTTAAGAATACTTGATATACTAAAACCTAAATTTCTCAGGATACATGAGGTCAATTTTTTTTTCTTCGTAACAAAGAACCTACGTCCACTGCTGCATAGTGGAACTTTCAGTCCATGGTTTTCGTTATCTGCTAACTTCTTTTCAATAGTTCCTCTGTATTACTGTTTGAAACGGTTTTGATAAGGGGGCATTTCCACATAAATAAATACGAAAGTAAATAGAACATAATCTTTACACCTCTTATTGTGTATGGGGCATTTTTGTAAAAGTGAGACGAATAATCCTTTGGAAGTCAAAGTTCCCCTATTTTCTGCATTATTCCATCATGTATTTCATGATAAAACCATTTGCAGATAAATATTCTTACGAGGTCTGTGTACTTAGTGTTCACAAGGGTTTGTGAACTTAAACGATTCCTGATTAACACTGCGGACTTAACCCAGCCATATTTGGCTCCAAGCCCTAGTATTCCATTTTGTTCATTTTCCATCTTTATACAATTGAAAAAAGAATTGAGAGATAAATTTTTTTTTTAAAAATTGTTGTATGCTGTTGATTTATTCATCTCATTTTATATATTAAAAAAAGTTTTATATTAAGCATTAAATGAAAAGAACCCCAGGACAGAATTTCCCATTACACTTGTAGTTGCCTGTATTTGTGTTTTGGCATAATAAATATAGGAGGAGCCCCTCATCAGTGTAGAATTTATTGAATCAGGACACAATTTCAAAGACCATGTAGATTTTATAGTGTACGCATCATTTGGTCCACAGGGGTGGCTTTATTACAATATTTAAATGAAGTCCCAACTTGCCTCAGCTGGGGTGAGGACAAACATTTGAGGGTTGATTGACCTGATGGTCAAACAAAAAAAAAAGGTCTATCTAAACAGCTGTTATACTAGTACACTGGTCATTTTAAAGGTTTGGAGAAAGTAATGTATAGATTTGTTCGAAAACTATTGCTAAAATTACTGTAGGATCATCGAAGACTTAATAACTTTTTATTCAAATACATATCAATTTAGTCTGCAATCTGTTTTCTCTTTTCTCCATAAAGTCAAGGGGGGAAAAAAAATCTCATGGCATTCGAAATGCATAACAATTAAGTCTATATTCTGTTTTCCCCATGAACATGATGAAGTCAGGGAGGGAATTCCGTTGAATAACACTCAAAACTGTCTAGTCAGGTAATAAAATGAACTTGAAAAGATAAAGTTAATCAGCTGGTTATGAAGCAATAGACTTCATTTTCCCTGAGTTATACTGTGAGCCACAGAGCTGTTTTCTGTATGTAAGCTCTTCCAATGACATGGCACATCTGTTTTGTTAGATTCCTTCCATTTCTGACAACAAACATTAACTGACCAGGCCCCATTATCAGATTCTACTGTAACAAGCAATAGACAGGCATTCTCTTGATTGATATTCTAAACCTCCAAGAACTCATTTAGAATTTTCATTATGATAAAACTGCACAGCTTGCAATTTTTTAAGGAGAAGATAAAGCTTAGAAGCATGTTGTAGAATTCGATTTAAGAATAATAAGTCACACTATAGGTCTGGTTAGTTTTAATTAAAGCATGGCATAATGAACAGAGAAAAATTAAGCCTCGATCAGGTTAGTGCACAATTGCTGCACAACAGAAAAAGTGTTTTTGTATTCTGTTGGTTTCCTATTTCATCATTGTTTGTAGATTTAATCTCAGATTATACTCTGATTTCAATAACGATTATTGATTCCTTCTGCCTGAAATATTTACTAATTTTTGTTGACATGCAAACAGTGCTCTACCAATTAAGGCATAGCAAGACCCTAAAATTAATATTAGCATCAGTTACATTTTAAGCTATTGCAGTTCAGAACTCTTCAAAGAGTTTAAAACAATTGTTTTAAACTCTTTGAAGATTTTTGAATTGCAGTATTTGTGTGACATATTATTCAATATTCCAAATATTGCTGATTAGATTTTTTTAAATTCAGATTGAAGTGTGTGTATGTATTTTAAGTGTGCAATTAGTACTTAAGTGTATTTTCAGAGATTCTTACAAATTCTAGTTTTAATACAGTGGGTATTAAATATGAATAAACCCCTGTAGAAAAAAAGTAAGCGTTAATTTAAATTTCTTTTATGAATTTTTAGCTGCATTTTCATTTTTTTTTTCTTTTTTGATCATGTATGTAATTTGAATAATATGATCAAGATATGGAGTAATTTTTGAAAATGCAAGCCAATTTTGTTTCATTTAATCTTTATTATCCTTCATGGAAGATATTTGCTTTTATAGAAGATTTCAGAATTATATAGATCTGCATACTGACTAAATAATAAAAAAATACACTTGTTGATAAATAATGTTAGACATTTTTTTCAATGTTATATATTCCTATTGATTCCTGATGGGTTTTATTTTTCAGGGACTATTTAGCCACGTAGATGATTGTTTGAGCGAAAACGTCACATTTAGAGTCGATATCAGGTGAAAATTACGACCTACATCACAGAATTTGTCAATAATTGCCGTTAATGTTTATTTGTTTGATCAATGATTTTTTTTTTTACATAAAGGAAAAATAAATATCTATTACACTGCACACAAGATCATGCAGAAGCATGAAAAATAACTTTCAATATTTTTAGAAGATGAATTGATTTCTGATTTTGAATCATTCAAATTATTAAAATGCTGCACTTTTGTTGTAGTTATTTTTTATGTCATTACAGTTATCTAGAGATTTATAATGAGAGGGTGAAGGATTTGCTGAGGCCAACATTGTTAAAACCCAAGGAAAAGTTTACATTAAAAGTCAGGGAGCACCCCAAAGAGGGGCCTTATGTACAAGGTGGGTCCTTTTAGAGTGTGGGAGGGGGAAGTTTATGAGAGACATAGTGCTTTGAGTGATTATTGAACTGTTGGAAGACACAATAATCAAACTAGGATTATAGATAATAACAAAATGAAGACAATAATTTTAACCCCAAGCATAGAGAAAATTGAACCTATAGACTATATCTTGAGGGGTTTTCTAAGATATATCATTATAATGCAATAAACAGTAAACATTTTAATTACAGTGTCTGCATAGTGCAGAATATGATCTCTACAGCAGTATATAGTAGAGTAAGGTGCACTGTAGATTTGATGTTTTGACTAAAAGGTTTTAGACTTTTACTGTACTTTATAAATTTTAATTTGCATCTCTTGCAATGAAAGTGAAAAGACTTCTTAAGGATTTTTCTATAAAACAGCAGTTAATTGAGGAACAATGTTTCTAATTATAGATTTATCCTCCCATCCTGTCAAGGATAATTCTGAAATTCAGGATCTTTTGGACAGAGGCAATGAAAGCAGGTAAGGGAACATATCAAAATTCAGTTATGAAGTTCAGCAAAATCATGCACTGCAGAAAACAAGGAAGAAAAATGGAGAGAAGTTTTCAGAGTGTGACCTTTAGTTTTGTCTTTGTAGGACCACTGCCTCAACCTACATGCATGACCGTAGCAGTAGAAGCCATGCTATAGTTACCATAACATTTACTCAGGTAGGTAATGTAGATGTTCAAAGTGAAATATATCGAGTGGTACCCCCAACCCCCACCCCTGTGACTGTTAAATTACTGCTCGGTTATGGACCCTGAAATCTTGCGTGCCCTTGAGAGGAAAGATTTTTAGACGTAGTGTGGATATACCTATAATGGAATGCCTAATAAAACAATGAGTTTTTCTTTATGTCAATTTGAGGGTCAAGGTTATAGGTTTATGCCAGGTTAAAGGTCAGTTAAGGCTGCCATCAATTAGAACATTGAAGTATTTGCATTAAGTATGCAAGTTCAGATTCTGTATTTAAAACTTAAAATCACTGTGTATTCTGATATCCTTTGAAATAAGCAGGAAAAATGAGGTGGCTTCATTTTTTATTTGTTTTGTGAAACACTGCAGTGTTGTATCATATTTATTTTTTTTTTGCCACCAAATATTTATATATTTCAAACTGAACCCTTGTACGCAGGATTTACGTCAAGCCAGTGGACTGGATAATGGAATATTGGCTTGGATACAAAAATAAGAAAAAATTTTCTGGGTTTAGTTTTTCTAACAGCATTTCAAAGTTAAAGAAAAGAAAAGAAAAGCAAAAAGAATTTAGATTTGTAGATATCTGCATTCAAAGCATAAGTCACTTAAGTCGCCAGCAGTCGGTGGGCATGTCATGTTGGTTTTGCATATCTTTTGTCATTTGATCCAAGTTTTCATAAAGTTGTGTTAACATTCAAAAACTGCATGATTGCAATATTTCATTCATAGATATCTTCAGTAAAGACTGTCTCAAGTGTAAGGCTATGAATTGGGATTTACTGTCATTCAGATGTTTAAATCCTATTGTAGTAGCTAGGGAGTGCTTGAAAGACAGCTGTAATTAGAACTCTTTGTTAAATTTAAATGGAATCTTTTCATACATTCAATTATCCTGATTATACATGATATAATTACTGATTTGTTAGATGTATGACCCTGTTGGTGTAATTTTTCTGACGCGATGATCTAAACATTGAGTCACATGTTTAGCTAGCAGGGTGGGGTCAGGATTGTAAATTGCCCCCCTTTCTCTGAGGTCCAGTAATTATATAGAGACCTACACCATGTACAAAGAGATTCTTATTTTTAATACCCAGCCTTGTTAAAAGTCTTTATTGTTGAATCAGGTATTGAACAAGTATAATAAGTGACAAGTAGTGGGGGGGGGGGGGGGGGGTTGTTTTGTTGTTTTACTGGATTTGGTCAAAAGAGGTGCACCATAAAACACATTCTGGAATCTTGCAATAATTTATTTATAGCAAAGAGGAAAGACAGAAATATTGTGCTTTACTGTTATATTTGCCTTTCTAATACAGGATATAATAAATGCTTCTCAAAATTGGTTGTAAATGTATTCTTGACCTGGTAACCTAAACTGGCCCTGAGGTATAAAATGTAACCCTGCATTACAAAGGTTAGGCCCATTACACTGAAGTATAGCTGACTTGCAGGCATATTTACAAAGTTACATAAACTCTATCCACACAAAGGTTGCCATTTAATTCCAGTCTTTGTTCTGACTTTATTGCGTACTTTCATTGTTCAAAGTGTGAACTTAAAAAATCCATGCCAAGATTTAAGATAAAGCACAGCGGCATATACATGTTAAGGGTATAAAGTTTAATTTTATAAAATTAATCATTTTTGAATTCGTAGGAATGTCACATTGATCCAATAGATATATAACTCTGATTTCATTGTAGGGTAAATGTAGGTGAAATTAAAGCCTGTGGCTTTTGGAAAATGAAATTCTAGTCGTAATAATAATTCTGCGACTTTCATGAGGAAGGGTTATAAGCACACCTAGCATTGTTGTTCGAATATTTAAACCAACATCAAAGGACTTCAGCAAAAGACCTATATACCATCAAAATATTTAAAAAGAAATAATTACAAAGAAACCCCATAATCCTATAAATAGCATGCGTATAAGGATTTTAATTACTTTTCCTTCGTTTAAATTATGACCTTTTAAAGGTCAAGAGATGAAATGAGCAACTTAATGCACTTACTATGCATGTGTGGCATTTTATTTTATTTTATTCACAATTTTATATTGTTTCCCCAACTAATATGAAGATAATATAGTAGCGTGATATTATCTGAAAACACTGATGTATTTCTTCGTTCTTTATTTGCAGGCTAAATTAGAAGATGATTTACCTCATGAAATAGTTAGCAAAATTCATCTTGTCGACTTGGCCGGCAGGTTGGTTTATTTTTATTTCTCGATCTGTACAACTTCCTAAATATTCAGAGTAATGCAGCAGCATATCCATTTTAATATTAGCAGACCACATAAAATTTTAATATTTGGATGGAGGGTGTACTTCTACAATGTATAAGTCATATAAAAAACAGAATTCAAAATAAAAATAAATGTTTTTTTAAAAAAAAAAAAAAAAAAAAAAAAAAAAAAAAAAAAATTTGGACGGACAAGAAAGTCAAAAAATTGAGAGATAACTGATTGGGGTTTGATGATTATGTAATACCTTGTACCGTAAACATGTCTTAAATATTGATCTCTGTATTGGAGAAATTTATGTTAGGATTAAGTCTCCCATAAAAAAGTGAAGTTATTTTACTGCCAGATTCTTCAGTCATAAGAATATTATAAAAGTTAAACAGATTTAAATTCCAGAGTTCATAAGCTGGGCGAGGAGAAATCTCGATAAAGAAAAATGTAATAAGCTCAAATATGTTGACAGCATATTTTATAGAAATTTTTGTCTTCATATTAGCCACGGACAAGTTTATTAAAATTCCTGTCCTTAAATGGTAATTCTACTGTTATTTTTCATAAACATTGTACTCTAAATGGTTCTTGATCTAGTGGACAGTACATGTTTGATAATAATATTTGTCATTGTCTGTGATAATAATTTCTAATTTTTTTTTACTAGTTGAAATTGACTTAGGAGTAGAGGTTTTACTTCTTTTGTATTTGATGTGCATTACGTCTTCATGTCTCATATGTCCCTGTTCAAGCTTAAGGTTTAATTAATATTACTCTATGTCCAGTCTTTAGGGGGTAAAAGATTAAATCAGTAACAAACAAACAATTCTGTTTGAGCTCAATTACTCACTATTTAAAAAAAAACTTTGGAACATACCGGGAATTCATGTGTAAAGAGAGTTAAATAAACCCTAAACAATGGACAAAGAAAATAGGACTTAGTTGACTCCCCTACCATACGACAGCATTCGATCTCGAAAGTGAAATTTAATGAGCTATAGATCATTTAATTGCCTCATCGCATGTTTGAAATTTAATTCCCTAAATTTAAAGCATAAAGTTCTTGATATCAGATTTGATACTGAAGTTTAGATTTGATTAATTTGATAAAATTTACTTTTTTGGAGGCTTGCTGTTGATGATATTCCTATAAATACCTGTGATACCTGTAAATGATTTGTATATTTAAATACCTGGTAAAGCAAGTAGGATTTGAATATCACGGAGCTGTCTCTTGTTTAAAGTGCCAGTTTTCAATGGGATCAAATTGAGCAAATATCTAAAAAGTAGATACGAAGTATGTACAACTGCTGAAAAACTTCTTCTTCTCCAAGACAAATCATTTTTGTCAAATATTGATATAGCATGATAGTGGGTGATCTAGAATAAAATGAATGGTAGTAATTTAGTATAGACATTATTCCAGAAAAAAGGGTGCTCTTATAAACACTTCAAACTTCTAATTACTTTCTCATAATTCTGCAAAATTGGAATGATTTCCTTTTGTGTGTTTGTTATATATATATTTGCGAAGCTTATAAGTGCAGTTATTAGGCACATGCTGTGTGTTAATTAAGAAAAAGTTCAATAAAATCAGTTTTGTTGTTCCCTTCAAGTTCTTTTATAAAACGTGAATTTTACTTTTGAATGCAATATATAGACATAATTTTTTTTTTCAGTGAGAGGGCCGACCCAAACTTTAGTGAACACTACAAAGGCAGATTAAAAGAAGGGGCAAATATCAACAGATCTCTAGTTACTTTAGGCAATGTCATTAAGGCTTTAGGTAAATCACTCATATTTAACCCCTTTATTTTTATTTGTTTAATGTCAGCTGAAACAGGAACAATGATTTATAGCTGATTATGGCTTTGTTTACAGTGCTGCACTATTTGACCTTCAAATTACAAGTTTCCTAGGTCATTTATGGCTGGAAATGTCATTCATTATAGCATCTGAGGTCTATAGGGCTGTTGACCATATTTACTGAAACGTTTGTTTTGCTGGGGGAGTGTTGGGTGGAAGCGTAATTTTCCTCCCACATAAAGTGTATGTCTCATGATCGAAAAATTGGACTCCAAGAAAGTTAAAGCACATAAAGCAGACACACAAAGTGACATTTTAAATATGTGTAATTTCTTTGTACCTGCAGTCATTGAATTCAATAATTAAGATATTCTCAAGCTGCAGTAAAAGTGCACTGTATTTATAATTTGAGAAGAAACATCCAAGTACATATCATTTTACTGTCACTGTGAAATTTGCCTTTTCTCTTTTATAGTCAAGCAAACTTTAATCGTAACATTGATATGTTATCGTCATTAAGAGTACAGAGACGAGTCTGTAGCTATGCAGAATTTGTTAAATTATTTAGTAGAATGTTAACTATGTACATAGTAGCTATGCAGTTTTTGTTAGATATCTTACTGTGTGCATATACAAGCTATGCAGCTTCTTTTTTTTTTTTTAGATAATTATAAGATTACTCTATCTATTGTAGCTGAACGCTCCCTGTTGTCATGGAGTGCAGACAATCTGGGATCCACCCAGAGCTTCCTTAGTGCTGCAGATTCCAGCCCCAAACGAGTCCGTCTTCCATACATACCATACCGAGATTCCGTCCTCACCTGGCTTCTCAAGGACAGTCTCGGGGGAAACTCCAAGACAATCATGATCGCCAGTATGTTTGACAGGCCCACAGGGGGTCTGAGTCTCAAAAAAGCTTAAATATTTTCATTTTGAAAGGCTTAATTTGAATGTATCATATTTACTGATGTTTTAATTATTTTTAATTTATTTTTATATTTAATATAATTGACACAGCGAGGTAAAGGCAGGGATAAGATTGTCAATTTAACGTAATTCTGTTGAGAACAATTAATACATAAGAATAATAATTATATACTTGATTTTTTTTTTACTAGCAATAACGCCTGCGAGCATGTACTATAGTGAAACTATCAGCACTCTAAGATATGCTCAAAGAGCCAAGAGTATCATCAACAAACCAAAAATCAATGAGGTAAAATATTCAGATTGTTTAAATTGATGACACAATGAGGAACTCTAATAGGTTTGTCAGATACTGCATGAATTCTGTGTTTGCCCCCTTTTTCTTTGAATTATTTGACTTCATGATGTTCAGTTTTTTTGAGAGGAGAAAGTGATATCTACTTGATGCAGTGAGTCACCACGTACATTTGTATACTTAAAACAACATTCCAGCCCTTCATTGATAAGACCACGTTTATGGCCTTTCTGAAGTGCTCAGATGGACAGAAAAGTCCAAAAAGTTTTCATGTGTCAGCTCCGCTAATCCTTGCCATGGAAAACTAGGCTCTCAACATTTTTACAAAACAAGTTAAAGAAATCCTTGTAATCTGGCATAAATGTACATAAATGTTCCTCGTCTGAACTTTAACCAGCTTTGATCTTCAAAGAAAAAATAAAACGTTTTGGTATTCCATCAACAAACAAATATTTTGAAGCTTTTCTAAATAAACCTGTTGAATCTCAATCTTTACAAATAAACAAACATTTTTGATGCTTAGTTATGAAAATATTGGAATTGCTCTTAATTTCAAAATATTCATAAATTTTACTTTAACAAATATTTTATATAAATGTTTTAAAGTATGAAAGTTTCCTCAAGTTTTCCTTATATCTAATGTTTTGTACAATCACTTTGAGACCTGAGATGTTAAAACAGCCATTGAGACCAATTTTATAAATGACACCATAAATCTAAGATGACTGACTTTAAAGACGTTGTTTTGTGGGCTATGGTAGAAAAACTTGTGAAAATTTAAACAATTTACAGGCTTTTAACAAACTTCATAATCGAAGAAAGTGGTCGTTGATGCACAGAGGGGAGCAGAGGGCAATGTTGTTGGTGTAATTTTGCTATTAAACGTGCAAGACAAAGCTCTTAGTTGATTAGGACACCTTAGTGATAGGGACACAGTACTCTACCCAGAGTCTTGGTCTCCCCCCAGCAGTGACATTCAGACAGACAAACTGTAACTCAGGGATGACAAATCTATGCTTGATTTATTGATTACTTGTAAACCATGTCACTCAATTCACCGAGAAAAAATGTAGAGCTGAAGTGCATTATGTAATACTTGCACATACTTGGATTTCATGATGTCCAAAAATGCATTGGTTGAAAAAACTGCACTCTTGTGAAGAGGGCCATAAATTACAAAAAAAAATCATGTTGAAGTATTTAGCACCCCAACAGATCTAGAAGAAGATGGTTGACTCATTTAAATGCATGATTTTTATAGTTCTGTCTAAATGTTGAATGGGACATGAATTAACTCTACATGATATTGTTCTTTGCTTGTGCATGTTTTTTTCCTGATCATTTTTAAAAAAAAAATAATGTGTATTTATGTCATAACAAATTTTGATATAATGAATCCTGTACAGAGTGTATTTTCATATTCATTTCTCACAAAAAATAGTGTTCATTAACAGTAACTTTATGCTGCTTTCTTTTGCTGCAGTTATATCTTCACAAATTATGCTACATACAAGACAGTTGGGAAATTATATGGAAATAACTTGATTATATTGGTTTATTATAAATTCAAAAGGAAATTTAAAAAAAAAAAGAACCAAACAAACAAAAAGCAGCAATTTCAATAATGGAGCAGGAGTGGAATCATCTTAGGAAATGCAGATACACATACGAGGAAAATCAAAGCTGTTTACAATAATAATTAATGTAAAAGTTGATTACCATGTTAACCAGCCTGTTAACCTTCAAACAGAAGCATGAATTGAATTGAACATATTTTATTGACAAAGTCAAAAGGATCGGACACAAGTTCAGAAACTTAGATAGTCTTCTCCTAATACAACATTTTGTTAAAATTGCCAAAATAAAAAACATATATACATATGGTCTACTACATATACGTAGTTATAGAAAGAAAAAAAAAAAAGTTTTAAGTGTACAAGTATAACTTGAATTGGTAAGAAGCATGCTAGATCACAGAATGATTGTGTCCTTTTCTGTTTACAGGATTGTCCGCCCTTTGTTGTTTATGTAAGACATTTGTTTACTTCTTGTCCTATCTTTTCATTGCAATTTTTTTTTATAGCTTTAAATGCAAATATCTTTAGTTTTTCTTTTTTTGTTGAAATTCTATATTTTCATCTATTCTGTAGAGATTCAATAACTTGATTAGATTGTTTCAATCTTTCTTATAGACTTTGCGACCTTTCAAAGAATTTCACCAAAATTACTTCATACACTTTTAAAACCATTAACACATATGCAATAAGAGAAAACTGCTACATAATAGAAAAAAATGGCAATGAGATGGATTATAATTATACTATGTAATTATTAACTGGGTATGGTACATGTTGGATGGTGAAGGATCAACCGTTCGCCTCTTGTTCCTAAACACAGGTCTTCTTAAAATCCTTATCCCAGATGACCACAATTGGCTTGTTTGCATGGACACAGTGATAATGTTATTTCATACTTCAACAAGTTTTATACAAATTTCATATATAGCTATATTATTATACATGTATATACATCTAAAAATAAATTTTTCCCTTGTATTCAGTCATTTACTCTCATCCTTCATATCCTAGAAGATTCTTTATTATGCAATTAATGAAACATTTTTTACTGGTGCACACAAAAGGTTATTTTGGTTAATTGAACTTTTACGAGTTACAATGTATTTCAAACTTGTATTGTCCTCTTGCATGTCTATCTGTAGAGTTGCGAATGTCAAGCTGGTAGATATCTCTGTTTTAGCAGTTAATTAGACATAAGTGTTTTTCTTTAAGGAAAAGGGCAAATATTATGTATTTTATCGTTCCTCTTCTGTAGGATCCCAATGTGAGCCTGATTCGAGAGTTACGACAGGAGATTGAGAGACTTCGAGAATTGCTCAAATCCGCTCAAATGGTAACATTGTCATATCTTAATTATTAATTAATACACTGTTAGTTTAGGGGATGATTTTTTAATTCAGTAAAGATGTGATAGCATTGCTAGTTATTAGTTTGACCACTGAACAATAAAATATTTAAAGAAAAATATTAAAAGATAACTTTTAAGTTCACCTTAGTTTAATAGTTTTTGCTTTTATGGTGATAATTTTTTGTTTTGTTTTGTTTTTGTTTGTTTGTTTGTTGTTTTTTTTTTTTTTTTTTGGGGGGGGGGGTCTTTTATACCTCTTCCAAATGAAGTTGGAAGAAAATGTGAAAGTCACTGTGTCCATCTGTCATCTAGATGTGTCTGTCAATAACATTTCAGCTCATACTTGGCAAAAGGTTGCTTTTGACCTGAGAGTGTATCTTGACCCAAATAAAGAAATTAGAGGACATTTGTACAAGATCATATGGATATCAAGAGTTTAAAATTCTTGTCTGGGCCACAACTTAGTAAAGCAGAGATTGTAAGAGGTCATACATGTACTTGACCCAAAGACTGCTCAAGATGGAGGGTGTTTCATATGACTCTCTGCCATGGTCATTCACAGAGATGAAACTTGCAAAAGTCATTCTAGGCCTTGAGTATGTGATGTGGAGATTGTGGAATCTCTGTATTTGACATTATATAGATTCTGCTTTATGACGGAAGATATGTCATAACCTTGAACCAATTTCACATGGTGAACATTAATTGCCTATGTTTTTGCAAAGCAAATTCTTGATACATGTACTGTGTTCGTGAATATTTTTTTCTGCTCAATACTGATTGTGGCCCAAGGGAGTGGGATTTATCCTCTTAAAGTTTGTTTGTTTGTTTGTTTGTTGTTTTTGTTTTTGGGGGGTTTTTTTTGCTTTAAAATTTGTTTCTGTTTATTTTATTTTTGTGGCAAATTAAATACAGGATTGTTAGTATCTTAAAATAAGCATCCTAAAAAGGCTTATAGTTTTAAATAGCTACTGTTATGTTTTTCCATTTGTTGTGTGACCTGTATGTTGTGCATTTCATTTTCCCCTCCATTTGAAAATGCCAATGTTTGTCTGTATCATATCCACCCCATCACTTTCAGGGTAGTTCCCAGATGTCCGAATTAAACTTACTTGTTCAAATGCATGACATGATGACTGAAACCCAAAAGGTACCTGTAAAACAGCTGATAAAATAACCAGAATTAACCCATGTATAATTATTGTCCCACTGAAACAGATCTTATATATATACATCTATATTGATCACTTCTAATTGCTTTATCTATGTACTTATACTTAATAATCTTGTTACAAAAAATATTAAGCTTCACTTTAATGTATACAAGGGTGTAGGTCACTACTTCACATTTTCATATAGTTGTATATCATTATTTGAATCCAAGTTTGTTGCTTGCTTACAATACAGTGTGGACTTTGAACTTAACGATTTATTTATTATTTTGTCTGTTGCTAACATACATGTAGAATCATTCATTTGTATCCGTTGCTTTTATTTATTTCATTTTCACTGCTTTTCCTTTTATTGCATAGTTATAGTGGTTATTTGATTAAAGTTAATAATTTAAAATCCTGCACATGTATCAGAATAATTAAACTTTGTGAACCTTATATGATTTAAAAGAAATATTTTTTTTTTTCAAATAGATTCTAACAGATTATCTAATAACATATGTGGTATCACAGTTTATGTAGATTTACCATGACACTAAAATCCATAGATAAATTACTTTAACTTATTTTTAAAAACTAGAGTACATATGATTGTGCATGGTCTGTAAAGGGATTAGAAGAATTAAACCCTGTGTGTAACTGTCCAATTTGCTGCTTTCTTTTCAGAGTAACTCGCAACAAGCGTCCGCGGAGGTGGGGTCAGTCCTGGCCGAGAGATTACTGGACCATGAGAATATGGTCAGTTTTAGACAGTAGACATGGCAATGCAATTTCTTGTCAGTTCAGTTCATTTTACAGTAGAGGGAAATAAAGCAAAAAAAAATGATAGCTGAATTTTGAGAAATTTTAGAAGCAGCGCTTCACTATCTTGAAATGCACAGGCTTTGTCATGGCTTCATGCTGCACTTAAAATATCTCACTTGCTTTTGTGTCTTTGAAACACATCATTTGTATTTGTCTCATTTCTCATCACCATGCCATTTGATATGGGAGAGACAAAGAAATGAAAACTTGATGGTCGGAAATATTAGGAATGCTTTTCTTGTACAATTCAGGCCAAGAAGTTGACTCAGACTTGGAAACACAAGTGGACAGAGGCTCCTGACTTCATCAAGGAGTCGGACTTGAGTATCCGAGGACTCAAGCACTCGAGCTCGATGGGAGTCATGATTGAGTCTCAGATGCCTCATCTGGTGGGAATGGATGATGATATACTTAGTACTGGAGTCACTATATACCACCTTAAGGTCAGAACTGATCTAATGAAACCAAGATAACTAAATCATTTAGGATACATAAGGCATAGAGATCTTGTATGGGCATTATGCAGAAAGAGGATTTAGACCCTTATATTAAAAATAATCTAAGAATAATTTCTTGGATATTTCAGGAAGGTAAAACTTTGGTTGGAAGAGAGGATGCAGAAAGACCGCAAGATATAGGTATGCAGAAACCGTAGTACAGACCCGAGGATCATGAAGATTAAGTTAACATTTCAGTCATTCATAAAATGACTAAGTCTTAAACTTTTTCTTGATCCTGGGGCCTGGTAGTACAATGTTTATATATTTGGAATGAAAAAATCAAGTATATTCATAAATGCTTGTCTATGTTGACCATTTTCTGTTTGTAGTTTTACGTGGTCCAGGTGTGAAACAGGAACATTGTTTCTTTAAAATCCATTATGGCACTGTAACCTTGCATCCAAACCTCGGAGCTCAGTGTGCGGTTAATGGGGTCGAGTGTAAGGATTCTGTTGTCCTGAAACAAGGTAAACATCACACATCACAATGGGAGGGGGAAGGGGGTGTCGGGGTCGTTCTCGCTTTAATTTGTCATTTCTGATTTTAAACTACTTTTCATATCTTTGCTTAATTCATTGTAGATTATGTAAAGTCATATAAGCTCATGCATCTTGATTAAGGAAATAATATATATACTGCTTGAATTGCGCTACTGTTTAATGCTCAACTGCTGTTTGTAGTTTGGAAAATTTTAGAGACAGGAATTCATGTACTGAAAACGAAAATTCGTACTTTGTATATTAAAATACTCTTTCTGAAATTCAGGCATTTGATTTCATGAATAATTCATTTCTCTTATATGGTATGTTTATGAACATTAAATTGTTAAATTATAAATGTTTTTTTGTGTGTTTATTTTTTAGGTGACTATGTATTGCTTGGGAAAACCAACATGTTCCGCTTCAATAACCCTGCAGAGGCTGCAAAATTGCGAGAAAAACGACAGGTATGAAAAAACTTAAATGTGCTGCTAACTGCTTTTAATAATTACAAAAAATTTTTTTAACATGCAAATATAGAGAAGGTGTGTGTACTGAAGAGACCAGTTCTTTTCATTGTTCTTTAAAATATCTACACCTTTGAGGTAAAAACAAATTTCTGTATTCACACACATCAGTGACATTGGTCAAAATGGAAGTTTTTAGTTAAAACTAAATTCTTAATGTAGGTTTGTAACTAAGCCTGTAATCTAAACTACAGGCAAACATCTTAGTATTCAAGATACTGAGGTTAAAATACATAAAGAAAGAGTAATTAGAAGATCCAATTAATTTTGACCTGATCATTGTACCGTATACAGGGAAATTTTCACCCCCGTTTTATCTTCGCCCCTTTAGCCCAACTCACAAGTGGGTGAAATTGAAACGGTGCAAATTCAAAGAACACAGTATTATTTTTAAAACGGAACTGCGACAGGGCGAATTTAAAATGGAGCAAAGTTGTTTGCACGTGTGAAAGGGCGAAAATAACTTGGGGCAAAAATAATCCTGTATACAGTATCTGAGATATCGATGTTCGAGATACTAAAGTTCAACATGCTTTTTTATTACAGAGCATGAGCAGTCTGACTGACCTATCGTGTGGGGACAGTGTGGAGAGTCTTGACACAGAGGACAGTGACCAGTATTCCTTCTACAATAGGCGGCCATTCCACCCACTATACGGTCCAAAGTAAGTAGGTCAAGGTGCGCGGGGGAGGAGGATGTAACAGTCACCTAATGAATGTTTGCTGATGTCACATATTAATCAGCCATTGTCACATGTTATGCTAGAGTTATAGGCCTTGTTAGATAGGGTTGTAGATGCAGTTAGGTAGTTAATAAATATATTTGTCCATGTTCTGATAATTATTTAGAAATAATGATTTTTTTTTACTTCAAATTTCCTGTTAATAATTTTATTTTTACCTGCTTAGACTACCTATACGTGCAAATTTTGGTTACCTAGTGGGAAAAAAAATTATCTTGAGGAATGATAAAGGTTCCTTGGATTTTTATTTGATAAATTTGCAAAAAAAGCTTCTCCATTCCTTAGTAGATATGAAATATTAAATTTATAAGCTTGAAATTTTTTTCTTTGACAAATCACCTGGGAAATGGTTTGGTTTTCTTTCATGCAGCTCAGTTGCTGTGATATAACATCACCTGTTGAATGGTTGTGTGTAAGTTTTTGATTGTTCTTGGTCATGTGTCTGACAGTGTAACGACACCTAGGTCAGCCTCTGACATGCCTTAACCCCCCGGCATGCCTCTTGCCTGCACTAAAAATAAAGGGTTGTAAGCATGTGTTTTTGCACTTTCTCTTTTAGCTACGCTTCTCCTGAGATATGGTGAGTATTCGTTGTTTCCTCCATGGTGATTAGTTTTAATTCTCTTCGGGAACCAGTTTCACTTTTAAGCTGTTTGTGTATCAGTTAAACTGGTTCCCATAGCTGAGGTTTGGCATGCTGTGAATGGACTAACTACTGATGTTTTATATGTGTTAGATGTAGTATGACTGGCATGCTTGTCATGTTTAATTATAGTGTATTTGGACTTGCAGCTTCTTCAGTGCTGGACTCTGAATTGTTATCAAATCTACAATACTGCGATATCTCCATATGATAGAATGTTCCGTATAAAAATGTTCACGTATTACATGTAGCGGTTTTATGAAATTCATACAAAAAAAATCATATACGCACATTTTTTGGCCGAGTCTATCTATCCACAGTCTAGACCTTGTTACATAGAGGTCAAAGGTTAACAAGATTTTGCCACTGCAGAGAGCAGTTTTGACTTAGTTTAGTTTTAAAATGTTTATAAAATAATATGATTTTTTTTTTTGGTTATAAGTACAGTTTTTGCACCAATGTGGATTTTTGATTATTTTCATCCAAGTAGTACTTAGCAGAGCACCTATTAATATGATTCAAATTTCATGCAAACAAGAATATTCCTGAGAAGGATATATGTTTTTATGGACATCCAGATGAGAATTGACCATTAAATTGTTTTAATGATAGCTTAATATTTTAACTTGCAGATGTTTTCAGCAGTATTAATGCCTTCTCTGTATGATTATCAAGCTTTATAATTATATTCTCCAAAACAGCTTTGCAGGCTCTGCTTGAAAAAAAGATATTTCTGTTGTAATAAGAGATATTAGCTAGTTTGACTTCCTTGTTCATTCATAAAAAAAAATTACTTAACAAGAGAACTTTTTCTCTACCTTTTTATGCTGCATACTGAATATTAATTTGTTGTGTATATGTACAAGTAGGATGCACATTGTCAATTTATTTTTTTTCAGTCTGCAGTTAGAAAGGCAGTACAGGAGTGAATCAGAGAGAATTAATCAGGCAAAGTAAGTATATGTTACATAATCAAATATGTATTTATGCAGGACCGTTCTAGTAATCAGAATTGATCTCATGTGACGAGGATATTTTTTACTCGGTTGATAAAAGCTGTCTCATCTTTCGATTACACAAAAATCATTGATTAAAAAGCAGAAGTTTGCCAGCTGTCATGGACTAATCGCTGAGGGGGAAGACGTAGGTAATGAAAATAGAACAAGTCCGACATGGCGGAGGAGTTCATGTTGACCCACTATTTAATATCTGGTCCGAGGGCACACCAAAGGTCCATTTCAGGACAGTGAGGCACCTAAAAAGAGATTTTTCAATTTCAGTATCCCCAATAGACTTAGATTTATTTGGCAGGCAGATTTAATCAGTGAGAAGACCTACAATGTGTATTGGAAATGTCGACTGGAATTATCTTTTTTCGATAGTTTAAATTCTGCTGTACCCATTTCAAAATTTCTAGGGTATTTTATTACACGTTAACTGATAAAGCTTCATTGAGCCCTTAGAGGTAAAACTTTTCAGGTTTCATGCCAAATTTTCTACCCCAGGTCATCAAATTCACAAATCCCTGTCTCATACCTTTGTAATCAGTGCTTAAGCTCTTAACACTCAGACAGAATATTTATGATAGTTGAATGTACCTCTAAAATCTATCAAGTGTTGACCTGGGGGCCTTTGATTTATGGAATTGTTAATTTATGTATCTGATGCATATACTTGGATCAAGGGTATTCTGAAGGTGTTAATGATAAGTGTTATATTGTACTGTACTAATGGCATATGTGCTTGGTTTGAGACACATCAATTAGTGTCTCTGTCAGAAGATATAAAATCAGTTGTGAGTGATGATCATGGTTTAAAGGGAAGATTACGGGAGGATCTAGTACAGTTACCCCAGTATTAGGTGTATAGGTGTCAGGGGTCAGGGGATTATGATAAGGAGACTACTAGCCCTAGGATGTGCAACCTCACTGCCAGTGATGGTGATGTTGACCAGGTTAGTTGTTACCATTGCACATTTGTCAAAATCCCTCTATCATAAGCAAGACTTTTCCATCCAGAAACCCATTTGTCACCAATCCAGGGTGTTCAGATCATTCCTAAAGTGTAATTTAATGATTTTTCAAAGTACAAAGTTTAAGTTAATATTCTCAAATGGATTGGATTTTTAAAGTGAAGCACGTTTCAACACACATGCTATTAAACTTACATATAACATATATATGATATAAGCTGAAATACTTTTATCAGCAAGTGCCAATGAAAAAAAAAGGATTATATCTGAGTGTCTTCTGAACTTCTTGTAACAATTTGCAAGATAAGCAGTTTAAACTTAGCTGTCATAAAAAGGACATATAACCAAAAATCAGAGTGATAAATTGACCATTTTAAATGGTTAGCATTGTCCAAAAGTGATAAAGTGTGTCGATTGGTTTCTTGCCCACACATAACAAAGATGAATTGTTGTGTAAACAATCTTCCCTCTTTAATATGGTATAGGTGATTTTTCCCTGTTCAGGTAAGTTATCCAGGTATAGTACAGGTGTAGAAGTCATATCTCGGTACTACAATATTGATGCCATGCAGTGCCCAGTGTCTGTATAGAAATAATCAATACACAGCGTAATAGTAGAAGTCTGTGTCTGTTATGTCAGGAATCTACCCAGTTCTTCTTATTGTGTGACATGATCAAGTTCAAATGGTCAGAGATGTAACATAAACTGTAGGATTCTCTTTAAGACAAGCGAGAGTCAGGAATCGTGAGTAGTTTTAGGTGATTTGATTCAGTAATGTTGTTCAGCTTGGAGCAGATTTTGTGTTGATGTTTGATGACTGTAGTTTTTGGCCAAATATTGACTGAACCTCAAGCAGATGCATTGATCTGAATAATTTGAATTGTGAATATTCTTTTCGTTTATGGATTGTTGACATTTGAATTTTTAATAGGGAGTGATATGTCACACTGTATTTTTAAAAAATAGATAGGTGAGGTTGCCATGGCAAATTCAAAAAGTGATAATAATTTATTAATTGCTTTTCACAAAAGGAATAAAATATAAATATATCTCTGTTTAGCCATAATGATAAAATGTTATTTGAAGGTAAAATAGTATTATGTTAATATGATTGGGAAAGGAATTTTTTTTTTATATTTGAGCATGTTATGAATATGTAATTTTAATAGACATCAAGCTTGCATTTGATATAATATGCAGGAATCGGAAATGTTTGTTCACAGCAGCCTGCAAACACATTTGAAAATGACTGCATAAAAATTTTTTTTTAGAAAAGAGCTGGAACAGCTGCGAGATGAACACCAAAGAGCTGAGGAACTGAGACGGGAGCGAGAGGAAGAATTGTACCGGATTCACGAGGAGCACCGAGCCGAGATACAGCGAGATCTGGAGAGAGCAACCAGGATGAAGGAGGAGACTCAAGCTCAGCGAGATAAGGCTGAGGCTGAGATTGAATATGCTCGCGAGTGCCTACAGAAGGAAAAGGAGGCCTGTAAGTATAAAATCCTATGCAAAACTAATAAATATTTGATATAAATTTCAGTGTTTTGCACAATTATTGTTGTTTTACTGGCAGCTTTGATGTGGTTTCCACATTGATTCTGTAGCAGAAGTAGCTTAAGTGCATTAGCATTTTTTATTCCTCAATACTGTAGCCAAAATATTGATCTGATGCTCAAGCAATCATTTTAAGCTGTTGGGTAATATGTATGTCAAGATTATGTAATAGGCCATCAGTGCAATTACTTTATTTTTTTATTTTGAGAAAATGTTGGCTTGTGTGCCAAACAGTTATTGATTGTTTTTATTTCAGTTTATGAGAAACTGCAAGCAGAGCTGAAAAATCTCCAGAAGTTTGGGACAGTGTCGGAAGTGGTTACACAGACAGATCTAGACTCCTCAGGGCATGTGAAGGAGGCTATAAACACAGCTAAACAATCTGGCTGGGGGAAAGTCAAAGATCTCCTCCACACGGAGCTGAAGTCACGACTCCAGCTCAGAGAAACTGAGGAGCGACTGAGGAGACAATCTGAGGACCTGGAGGAGCAGTTTGAAATGTCACAAAGAGAGATTCAGCAGAAGATGGGGAAGATTAAGGAGGTTGAGGAAGAATACAAATCGGAGGACGCTGTCCACTACGAGGAGATGACCAACAAGGTACAGGGCTAAAATATATACATTTAGATAGCACATCGTTGAGGTAAACCCTCAACAAAAAGAACCTAGTTTTGTTTCTTGAAAAACAGTTTAAGTTTTGTACTTTAAATAACAAAAACAAGATTATATGCACAAGATGAGTTCTTTTACATAGAAAATTTTAGCTGCATATTGTAACAAAACATTTCTTATTTCTCACAGATGAAGGAGATTGAGGACCTGACTGAACGCGAGGAGCAGCTAGAGCTGTACATTGAGGAGACACAGGACCTGTTAATGGTGGGAGTAGACCAGCCTCGTCCTATCCGGTCAGCCTGCAGTGAGGAGGTCCTTACTGTCCTCAGTCCTACCAACCCAGGCTTCCCAACAAGAACCACCAGTCTCATGGCCTTACCCAGAGGAAGTGAGGGAGACCTACCCTCCTGTTCAAATAGACTCTCCCAGAAGCCAGATGATCAGTCTATGGAAGAGTCCACTAATTCTTTGTTTGAGGGAAGTGAGGCAAGTATGGACATGTCATCTAGTGTGGGAGAGGGTGATGATGGTGGTAAACGAAAAAGTGGTGCTAAAAGTGAGAAACTAGTGAAAACCGCAAAAAATGTCACGGATAGACTTTATAAAGCTCCAGAGCCAAAATTTAAGTATCAACCTAAATCAAAGCAGTTGTCAAGGAGTTCAGGTGCTACATATGATGCAAGTGTTAGAACAAGGGACAGAAGATCCCCTATCTCTCCTACTAGAGATTCTCCATCCAGGAGTATGTCACCCAGGATATCCCGAGGTCGTCTCAAGTCCGAATCACCAAGGTCAACCCCTAGGTCAACTCCATCTCCAAGGCAAACTCCAGAGAGACAGTTAAATGAAAAGTCCTCAAATGACAGCAGGAGAGGTAAGAAACCTACTGATTTAAATGAAAAGGATACAAGGACTAATAGTGAAAAGGCAGGTTCTAGCACTGCCAAAAAATCCCAGCCTTCACCAAAGTCCAAAGGTACAGATCAGATATCTTCAGGGACTAAGAAAGATCCTTTGGACAAAAAGCATTCATCAACTGGAGATTTAGCTGATGTCAGAAGCAGAAGACAATCTCCTGGTAGCCATGATGATATTATTGGCAGACGATCATCACCCTCTGGTAGGCAAAGAGATTCAGAAAACAGTAGACTCAGTCCGAACTCTGATGGTGGTAGTCGAAAATTTGTATCACGGCTACGCCATATTGCCAGTGCCTCCTCTCTAGCAAATGTTCCAGAATCCATTGCTGAGGAGGTGGAACCAGCTGAGCCAGAACAGAGGAGCACCAGTCAAGTTGTTGTTGTAAAGAGGAGAAAGAAACGTCCCCAGATTGAAGGGGAAGAATTCAGAAGACACTCTGAACCTTTAGGGGAAGAGCTTGCTGAAGCATTTGATAAGTATACACAAGACTTTGAGCAAATGGAGTGGCAAAGGGCAGGCAGCTCATGTTTGCAAGGAAGGGAAAATTCTCTGAACTGGATGGGTAGTTATCCAGAAAATATTAGTTACAGTATCCCTAGATCAATGTCAAATGAGGATATTGAACAGCAGAGAGATGGAAGTGTTGATTCTGAAAATGATGTTCAAACTAAACTGATGCCAACAATAAATGTTGAAGAATGTGATGATTTTGATAGTAGCAGACTACATCGAGAACCCAGTGTGTATTCTGAGACAGGGTCCACCGTGTCAGAAGTGTCTACAGTAGTGGACACCGAGATAGATGCATCTGATCAAGCTGTGTTCATGGAAGGAGTGGAAACTTTATCAGATGATGAATCACCAAGGAAAGAGTCGGATCTGTCGGAGTCTCCTAAACCCGGATCAAAGAGGGAGCATGATTTAGTTAGTGAGAGGACAAGTTCTGTGCCTATGAAAATGGCAAGGACGGAGAATGATATTGATATTAACCCTGACAATCAAGACAAAATGGCTACCTCCCAATTCCCTGAAAGTCAGTTTTTTACTGGTGAATCTGTTCCATCAGACTCTGTGTCTGTGTCATCCGATTCTTTGGATGATAGTAAATCGGTTGATTCTCTGGAGTGTCCCAGAGAAAGAAAGGGTGATGAGGGTGAGGAAAATCTAGATGATTCTTTAGATGAATCACACATGCGTGACACTCTTACTTCTCAGGCAAGTGTAACGTTCCTCAGTGACAGTAATAATTCCACTGAATTGTTGACCTCTGGTGAAGGACGCAACTTGACAGAGGATCTCGATTCATCTAAGAACAGTGATTTGAACTTTGTTTCTCAGGTTACAGTGTCACAACAGACCACAGACAAAAGTAAACTGGCAAATTTACCTGAATCTAATAACTCTCAAGCATCTGGGGTAACAGAGAGTCCACAATTGCCTTTCGTAGAAGTACAACAGAGTTCTGTATCTCCACACATAACAGAAAGTAGTGATTTGTCTATTTCACCTGGAGTAAAGGAGTCTCAGGAAGCAGAAAATCCGCATTCAGCATCAGACAAAGTTCCAGATTTGAGTACGCAAGAACATTTACACTCTGTGATTGTTGATTCAGTGTCAAGGAGGAATGAAAAATCTGCAGAGTCCTTTCCATCCGAAGAAAGTGTTGAAACCTCAACAAATATAACTGAAAATAAAATTTCGGCTTCAGAAATTGATAGTTTACATGATTCAGAGAAACTGACGGCTACACCAGTCTCATTATCTGGTAATGGTAATATTTCCCCAACATCAGAAACAAGTGCCCCAGATATCACCATCAAAGCTATTCCCCAGGAATTGTCAACAGAGTTTCTCTCATCATCATCAAACAAGGTAGTTCCATCATCACAAGTGACCATTGCGGATAGAGATTCAGATTCTAAATTTGAAAATTCCAAACAAACAGGACCAGATGAACAGTTTGAACAAGAGGAGAAGGAACAAAGTGTAACTGTGATTCAGCCCACAGTGGCAAAAATTTCAGATTCTAAAGAAACTGGGCAAAATGAACAATTAGTACAAGGGGACCAAAGAGTGTCAGAGTCATTTATTCCAGACAAGGAGTCTTTAGAATTCATACAAGCAGGACCAAATTTACAGTTAGTACATGAACAGAGGGATCAAAGCATATCAGAGGCACATTCCACATTCTCAGATTCATCAGTAATAGACACTGACCATACTGTTCAGAAAATGTCAGCCAGCCATGATAAAACTGCAGCAATGGATATAGAGAGCCAAGGACCAGTCACTGAAAGTACTTCATTATTATCTTCAAAACAAGGGACGAGTGATCCACAGCATGTTTCATCAGGAGACTCCAATCTCGCAGAGCAGAGCAAAAGCGAGGCAGGGGATTCACCAGCTCCTGAGGAAAAAAGTGAAGAGTGTGATTCTATTTCGGCACCATCGGACTCGGACTCAAACAAAGTGAACATGGCTGATAAATCATGTGATGGTATAACAGTTGAACAGACCGACAGAGCTTCACAAGTGAACATTCCAGAATCACCAAAGAAGGACACTTCTACGGTGTCTGGAACAGCCTCTCAGACAAACTTGATTTTTCCTCAGAGTTTTGATGACCAAAATGAGACTAACATGGAAATTGAAGCAAATAATGCATTGCAGGAGTCCATGGAAATTTCTACCTCATTTAGTGAATTCAGTGGAACAGAAAATGAGAAGTCATTATCCATTATTGCAGTGGACATGGAGGAAGAGTCTAGGAAGACAGTGGGGGTGTGTACCAGTCCTTCCCTCATTTGTCCCCATGATGATACCCACAGTTGTTCTAATGACAGCCTACAGGAAGTCAAGGAGCAGCTGCAGGAGTTACAGGAAGTCCTAGAGGGTCACATAGGACTGCCAGCAAGGTAAGACAACTCCTGTAGATAGGTTATTAATGCAGTTAATTGATCTTATCAGTACATTTATATTTTCTTTAAATTGCATGCAATCTAGCTGCCTGATTTTAATTCCAAAGGTTTGCTGATAAATAGAGGGAAAAAATTGCTTATAGGTCATATAGAGTAAAAGTGAATAACCTTAAATAATGGATAATTTGAGATTAACATGCATTCAATTTACAGCCCTTAAGATGAGCACTGTATTATTTTTACCAATTTGTTTTCCTTTATCTGCAAAAAAAAAAAATCTATAAATATTAACAAAGTAGGACTGATAAAATCATATACATAAACTCAGTAAAAATTGTATGTTGTTTGATTTTTAAATTCATACGAAGCATAACAAATGTAGTTGATAAGGATGAAATTAAAGACATTATTATGCACAGACTCAAAGCTGGATTCCTTAACTGACTTTTAAGCAGTTTCCCATTTTGGTATGTAAGGTAATAAGAGTTATTTCCCTTTACTGAGAGATGTACATGCATAAGGACATAAAATTTGCAATTTTATTTTTTTCTGTGCTTAAATATATTACACTTATTTCTTTGATGTATCATCAAATGTATTACTAGGAATTTCAACAAAGTGACATCTCTAAAAGAAAAAAGATTACATGATAAAACTTTTTTTTTATGTTCTTGCATCGTCAGATTAGGAATTCGTTTTATTATGCACTACAATATTCACAGTCAGATCTTTAAATGCTACCGTGCATGGGATATTGGTGGCTTTTTCCAATACAATTCAATTTAGCGGGTAATCACTGACACCTGAGGTGAAGTATTTGTCAACATCTTTATTTAGGAGGTGTTTATGGACGTTCCCCAGCGAGCTCACTGAATTCCTTTTATGTATAGAGATTCATTATCAGATTCTGTCAGAGGTTTTTATTGCACAGCGGTTCTGATTGGTTTGATAGCAGGGACTACAAAAAATTGAACTTCATTGATAGTGATTCGTTTTCATTCACACCTTTGTTAACTAAAATTTAAACTATGACTTGGCAGGTTTTTTATTCTTTTTTTTTTTTTTTTTTTTTTTTTTTTTTAACATTTTTTTTTTAAATTTATTTATTCATTTTATTTTATTTTTATCATTAAATAAAGTGTTGTTTAAATTTTTGGTCTATTTTTTTAAATTTTTCAAATGAAAATTAATTTTTGATTGATTAAAAACAACATTGGAATAGAACATTATCAAGTGACCTCCTGTGAATTTAATTTCATGCATGTCTGGACTTGGGGAGATTTAAATATCTACATTTGTAATGAAACAGAGATTTTTTGGCAAGATATGGGAGACATTTGATGGAGTTTTATTAAAGAGTGTGTTTCTGTTGTCCTGGAATTTGTTTGATCTGTTAATGACAGATGTCAGTATTGCTCAGGAGGGACCATTCAGTTACTACTATTGGCACCCTGAGAATCTAAAGCGTGAGAATTGTGTGTGAGATTAATTGATTTGGTATCGATTCTTCAACAATGTATCATAAAATATTTATTGTCTCACCCCAAAAATTTTGCAATGAATTTTTGAAAATGTATCTAGTTTTGTTGATGGGTTAATTTAGGTTCATATACTATACAGATTACAAGTAAAGTGCTTTGCAAGTGTAAGTTGGTAAAACCTTTTATGAGCAACATGAGATTTGGTTCAAGCGTAGCAAGTAAATTCGATATCTGGTTAAAAGAAAAATCTGTTAGAGGAATGAGCTATACATACTTATGATTTTGAAATGTGCATACAGAAGCTCATGAAATTCTCCAAACTAAGATTAAATGCACTTAATTTCACTTTTGAACTACCAGTGGTTGCTTTTAAATCTTAATTCTTTGTAACAATTAAAGTACGTGCTACTGGTATATTTGTGTTTATACTGTACAAGTAACACACATGTAATGACTTGTACTCTTATTTGTCACCAATACTTTACAAATATTACTTAATTCTAAAATTGCTCTGAAGTCCTTGGTATATATAATTATTAAATGGCCCAGTGTGTTAGATATTTTTATTTTCAAAGAAGATTTATTTAGACATTAGATAAGTATATGTATGGATACCCTGGGGAGATATTAATTCCTAATTCATTCAATGCAGAAAACAGCAGGAGTTGTGTAAATCCCTCCTGTTAATTCTAAAGTTCCATTCAGGGAAAGAGGCTAAAACAGTTGTACAGCGAGGGTTTATATTTTCTTCCAGGGGAGTGTATCAGGTGTCCCCCCAGTTATCCTCTGCCCGGAGAGCAGTCAGGCAGCGTGCCATGATCCAGAGGAATGGTCGCTTAGAGAGTGGGGAATCAGACGGCACAGATCCCCTCGCAGAAAGTGCTGAAGCCACAGGTAAGGAATCTTAAAAGGAGAAGGGGGAGGGGTGTGTGATGATATATATTGTCGTTTTGTGCATATCCTTATCAGTCACAACATGCACCTACCCTCACTGCACATATTGTTGTGCAACAATTAGTGTTGTTTAAGGATTTTTTCGTAGCTTTGTGAAATCAATGTAATTTATGTGTAAACAAAAAAGAATTGTCACGTAGGCATATTTCATTATGCACGATCAGCAGTGGTTTTGGTTTCTCTGTTTTTATGCTTGAGTTAATACAAAAATGGTATGTATTCAAATTGAAAATTATATCTTTACCAGTAGTTTTCATGAGATTGTATGTTCACTTAAAGAACAAGAAATTATATAGCACACAGTTGTCATTTCTCAAAAATACCCCCAAAAATTTCTCTCTCTATCCTACCCCTATCAAATATTCTTCAAACAATGCTTTAGTGACAAAATATGCAAATTTTTGCAGCATACATAATTGTTGCTGACCGCAATATGTGCCAGTTTGAAAAGTACATTTTGTCACCAATTCTGCAGGGAGAAAAAAAACTCATCTATAGGCACATATTGTCGCCGGTGTCAATATGAACCAATGTATGACAATATTGAGCAGTGAGGGTAGGTATTTATTGTCTCCAGCGACAATACGTACAGAAAAACAAAATGTACCATCACAGGATGTTAGAGGATCTAGCTTCAATAATGTTGCCTTCTATAGTTTTTTTAATCTGATGTTTTTGGGGGAGAGATCAGTTTTCTCCCAGAAAAAAAAAAAAAAAAATTGGAGAGGGCTACATTACTGAAAGTATCAAGGATGGTGAAATGTTGAGATAAAAGTAGACAAAACAAATGAACAGATTATTTTGTGTGATTGGGTTCAAACATTTAGCACTCTGTATAATTAACTCTTACTTTTTGAGACATAGGACTTTCAGTCTATCGCTATACATATTAATCTATTTTGATTTGCATGATGGTCATGCCTTCTTTTTATCAGCCAAGATGCTGTTTAATCTTACTTTGATTGATATGATATTGGACAGGGAGCTAATTATCTGAAAGTTTCGATAAGTAGATTAAGTATATATAATGTCGCTGTTCCCAATATCTCTGTATATTGATGCTAATGGCTCAGACTGCCACATTGACATAAAAAAAAATTCCTCCTTTCTTACATCTACTGAAAGAATTTGTACAAAGTTACACCTTTTTGACAGTTATCAGGGTAATTTTGGAAAATTTTCTTTTTTTTTATGTGTTTGTCATAAAGTTTTTAATCATGCAGTCATAAACATACAAATGGGATGAATTGGTAGAAATTTAACTATAAGAAAAACTATGTGTACTGAAGCTGTATAAGCTTGTTTTGTATTATTGATGTGTGCCTGCCTTTAATTGTTTTCATCAGCTCACATAAATCAATATGCATGGTCCGTCATTCATAACATCCTTGAGTTAAAAAAGCTCAGTGTCATACAGTTTCAAACATCAATACGATAGTGGGTATAAGAAGTTTAACCATGGCTTGATGCCAGTAAGATTTCCGTGGCTTTAAAAGTTCTGTCCTGGTCTCGGTGCATTAGAACGGTTTTCATTCACCGAGGAATAACTTTGTTGGATTTTATATTTGACCTGGTCAGGTATTTGAAAACTTTTGCATTTTAATTCAGATGTTTATATCTTTGCATTTTGTCCAACATTGGAGGATTATTTTTGATCAAAAATAAGTTTAGATTGACAATTAAAATGTCATTAGAAGTCTGCAGATCGAAAATACTGCTCGGTTTGTAATTGGAGATCAAAGATTTAAAAATGGAAAATCAATATTTCAACATTGCTGTACTTCTCTTATTAACATTTGTGGCATTGTAATCATTCAGTGAAAACATATAGCAGTTGGATTTCCCGACTAACTCGTGTCATATAATGATCCTTTATAGTGCTATTGTTTGAATGGCAGCTAGGTTCATATATTTTTGTACCCCTATCTCCATTATGTCATTATTGTGTCTTTTACTGGCGAATTTGAAAGGGGTATGAAAGTGTTCGCAGGTAAACTTCACAAGGACTTTTAAGAGCTGGATATATTGACAGAGAATTCAAGCCATTGAGCACAATTGAAGCCCTGCATGGTTTCCTTAATTGACCTGTCAAACAACCACTTCCAAATTTTCGTATTGTCAGAGTGCTACAAGATTTTGAATTGTTTGCAAACATGTGTTGACTGCTTATACATACCATAAGAAATGGACTAGTGGTAATACTGTTTTGAATGTTGGGTAAATAAATGCTGATCTGGGCCATAGATACACTATAATCAGCTATATAAACTCCCTACTTTGAATAGCTTCCTGTGCCAGGAAAGAAAAAAGACCAAATTCTGTCCCCAGGAACTGGTTATCTAACCAGAGATAGCTAAACTAGCTTTCTGAACTTGATTGATTTAAAATTCTTGTGAAGCTTTGTTGGTTTTTATATTTTTCTGACGCTTGATTGAGGCAGCCTAGATGTGGGAGTTTTAATTCTTCTTTTGTACTTTAGATTTGGTGCTTTAATTGATAAGATAGATAGATTTATAGGAAATTCCTGTTGGTGATGGCATGGCTGTCTTGTCTACAGTTGGTAGCAAAATGTCCATTTTATGATAGCACATTTCACGGATATTCATTTCAAAACCAGAAAAATAAATTATAGGTAGCAGTGTAATCAAAACATCATTGTCAAAAATGAGGATTAAATTTATTCACTCAGTGGAAGAAATTAAATGATTGGAATAAAAAAAAGCATTAAAAACCGAACACCAATCTTGTTTGAAGTGTCAGGGGTATGATACATTTTGAAAGATTAATAGTACATTCACAATCTATTTACCTGAAAGGCCAGTGTAAACAAAAGCAAGAAATAAAATTAAAGGGAGACCTTTAGTGGAATGAAAAATTTTGTTTAATTGCCAGATCCACTAAGAAATGGATAGGTTTTTATATACATGTATGTAGAGGTCAGAATAATGCTCCACTTTTTAATTAGAATGTTGTATAATGAAAGGCTTAACATCTTGATAAGGATTTAGATTAGGTCAGTTTCTTTTAAGGGTCTGCCATGGAGTGTCTTTAAGGGGATACCAAATAATTGGCTTTTAAGAAAGGCTAAACAAAGATTAGAATAGACCTAAAAAGTTACAGTGTCATGATTTAAATCAAATTAGATTTATAGTTTTATTATGATGGAATTATATTGTTATTAGTTCATTATTATGCAAGCACAAATTTAAACTCCTTATGATATCAAATGCTCATGGGAAAGTACTAGTATGCAAATATAAAAAAAGAGTATTTCATTACTGTTTTAGGTATCTGGTATCTTTCCAGTAATTTTAAGAACTGCTTGTCAGAAGAATGACAATGTAAGGTTTTAAAGAATGAAGCCAATTAAATAACAGTAATTTATTTTTGTTTCCAGGTTCGCAGTCAAAGTCTTGCTCTAGACCAACTTCAGGATCCCGGCGACGAAGAAGAGCACAACTCAAGCCATACAAGAAATCCGGGAAGTGTCCATATTGTCAGAGCTCCGAGGAATATCAACTTACTACAGAAAGTGAGAGCCACAATTCAGATACTGCACTGATCAGCAAAGAGGAAGAGCTTAGTCAGCCCGAGCAATCAAAATCTGATGAAGAAATCTCCCATGATGCAACAGCAGTAGGATTATCTGATGATGATGCTACAAAAGACAGTGAACATAGAAATCTTGAACAAGAATGTTCCAGTATCAATCACTCTGTGAATCTAGAAAATATTGATTCAGATAAAACTCTTCCTAAAAGTGGTTCAGTAAGTAGTCTGAATTCTGAAGTAGAAAAGTACTGTTCTGTACTAAGGGAAATAGATGATCAGGAACAAAATATTCCAGGAGGCAGTAGTGATACAAACATGTTGACTAGTCAGAGACCAGTTGATGGGCCTGCCCATCGTCCACAAAAACTTCGGACAGACATGAACTCTGTGGATTCCTCTTATGGATCTGTTGGTAAATCAGGGTCAAGAACCACCTCTGAGACAAGAGACAGTGAGCAGCAGACGGATTTGTCCTCTGTTGATAGTCCATTAATGTCACCATTGTCTTCTCTTCATTCCTCACTCCGCTCCCCAAGACCTGGGATTCACCACCTAATTACCTCCCCAGTCAGTGTATGGAGTTCAGATAAAAGTTCTTCCTCTCCCAGGAAGGCTAGAGCATCAGGGGGACTCAATACACCCACTGGACGGAGGACTCCAAGGAAACACAAATCATCCAAGTTAGAGATGACCTGTGCTGATGTGTGGTCCACAGAGACAGTGGATCCTAATTGTCCTCCTACTGAAAACAGTGCTACGCTGGATTCGGATGTTTCGTCAGAGGAGGATAATTGTTACTCATTAGAGACAGAGACAGTATCACCTCAATCTCCATCTTCTTCAGACAGATTTTTCGATCATGGGAGTTTTATTCTGGAAAGTCCTCCAAGTGGCAGGGCTGTGCCTATCCAGTCTCCTGTCAGATATGAAGTAACTGTGAAAGAAGAGGAGACCAATGTGTTCTATAATGTCAACAAGGTGGAATATAAAACATATGGCTTGAATTCACCTAATTTGTCAACAACGATCCCAGAAACTATTAATATTAATGTGACAAATACAGATACTCACAGAGTGGAAAATCATGATGAGCTGGTGAACCATGAGAGAGTTGTGTTCAGTAGATCCGATGCAGAATCTCCAACTCATGTTCTTGTATCTGAGAGAAACTTTCAGGGATCCTCTACTGTGTCAAATGCTGATGGACACCATGTGGAAAACCAAATTCAGAATGAATATGGAAATAGCTATGTGGAGGAAAGAGGGCCTCCACTAAATGTTCAGATTTCAGAAGACCCCAGAGGAGTCAAGTCCTTAACTTCTCCTATAGAGTCTGATACTACCTCTGATTATGGAACAATGATTGGTGATGGAAGGAGAGGAAACACATCATTTATGTCTGACTCAGCAGACGATTTGGATTCCCTCCCTGGGGATAGGTCATCAAATAAAAGCACACCAAGATCAAAGATAACAGATGATGCACAGCAACCAAATAGATACAGAAGGGTTGGTGAGCAAACAGTACTGCATTTGAATGAAGAAAACATAGAAAGCATCAATCCTACAGAACAAAGTTTACAAACAGTTAGTCCTCCATTAAAGAGATTGAGTAGATCACAGTGCACAGTGACCTCACCTTCCTCAGAAGTTGCTTCCAGTGTGATACAGGGCTCAAGTGCAATGGATGTCCTCAGGGATTTAATTGAAAATCCCATCAACACAACCACAGAGGATGCTGAACACTCTGATGAATATGATCCTACCAGAAAATACTTTGTGGAGGAGATCTGTGATGAAGTGCACTCCAGCTCTAGTTCTTCTTACACAACACCTCAACAATCACCTCGACTTAGTAAGACAGAGATATCGGAGACATCAGAGGAACCTCAAAAGGCTGAAGAGACAACTGAAAAGTTGCTTGTACCAGCAGACTTGAAGAATATACAAGCAATTTCTGTTGATGCAGATTCTCAGGAACCAAAGGCCATTCCCAGAAAGCAGACAAAAGATGATGGAAGTCTCCACAGAGAGATGAAGAGAGAAATCCAGCAGAAATTGGCTAATCTCCAGCGGAGAGTGAGAAGTCTGAGTGACTCTGCTATCAGTTCTGACTACCACACCGATGGAGATTCTACCACTGTGTCTCCCAGAGGTAGTCGTCTTTATGAGTCTGACAAAATATTGAGAGTTGGAGGAGGACATCTTGGACCCATAGAGGTCAGGACAAGTGAGATTGAAACTCCACAGATTCCGGCAGAGATTCTAAATACAAAGGCACTGGAAATTGAGAACAAAAGTGTAAGAAAATCACCTCTTAAGGACTCTGGAAATGTGTTTGACGATAGTGATACTTGTGATCTAGGAAAAAGTGAAGATGACTCTAAAAAGGAAAGCTCTGACCAGGAAGTTAGTGATGTGATGCAAAAGAAAGTCCAACAAAGATCAAATTTTCCTATTGAGGTGACATCCTCCTCAGAAGAATCTGATTCTGATGTGAGATGTGAAACAAACAGTGAGCGATCTTTGTCTCCAGGGGAGATTCTTATTGATGACTATGATGTACCTCAAGAGGAACAAACTGTTGAAGCTGATGAAAAATCTAAATATAAGTACAACCTGATCAAAGAAAAGTCTCCATCGATGTCAGATGTTCCAACAGAGGATCGTGAAGAGATCAGACGATCCATGTCAGAGGCCTGCATGGATCAGTATGAAGAAGCAAAGGATGACAATGCCAACAGCTCTAATGACAGCATTGTATTTGTATTTATGGGTCAATCACACAGCAAAGACAGCATGGAGCAACTGAAGTCTTTCACATCCAAACAGCCAGAGTACAACATTTTAAGCAGCACTGAAGTGTTAGAAGACAGGGGTGATGAGAGTGATGAAGATGGTAGAAGCTCAAACAGAGACACAATTATACAAGAGGAAGAAGCCATTGATGGTATGGAAAATTGGGAGCAAAGGCCTAGGAGCTATACAGACAATGAAGATGATGACAAGCCACTGCGACATAAATTTGGAATTGATGAAAGTGTCCTACCTATTCCCACCCGCTCCATGTCATCAGACAATTTACCAAAACAAGGCCTGAGTCAGCAAAAAATCCATCGGTCAAGGTCTACTAGTTTGTTAGAAGTTCACTCAAAGATTGAGGTGGCTGATGATTCTAGCAACAATGAGGGCATCTTCCCACCCTGTGTTGAGACAAGTGAGAGAGAGTCCCAAAATACTTCTGATGTCAAAGACAGCACATCAGCAGAGATTGGTGACAGTGACTTCTCACTGACAGAGCTACCAGATGACATGCAGTATTCTCGATTCCCAAGTCAACATGCACATCCAGATGACACTCATCAGCATACTAGCTACAACTCCACCATGAGGCCTAGAGATGAGGAAAGAAATGCTGAGGTGTCTCAGGGCTTGGTGGAGTTTGGAACTCAGACAAATGAAACCATCTTGCCAACTCATGCTAAGGATAATCGAGTTCTTCCTGGATTAGATTCTCCATACAGAGCAAAAAGCACAGAAGAGTTGACTCGAGGAAGGACAACTGAACTACATCTGACTGAGGACACAGAAAACTGGCAGAATTTATCCTCAATTGTAATAGAAAACAATGCACGAGTTCAGAACCTACAACAGAGATTGCCTGGAGAGTATCGGTATGGATCTATAGATGCAGTTTCTGCACACAGAGATGACACAACACAAACCTCTACCTCCCTTCAGAACTTGGAGACCTCCAGCACTCAGACTGACATCAGCTTTCCTACACTTACTTTATCTGAAGTGGAGACGACCGAGGTTCTTCCTGATCTCTCAGAGGTGGATGGAAATATCAACACTGAAAGCCTGGGAAATGTCAGAGATACAGTTGACTATTTTGATAGGCTGAGCAGAGAACCATCACCTGCTAAACAAGAATCAAGAAAACCGGCCCCCAAAAAGAAAACAAAAGACTTAATACAAAAGAAAGCAGATGATGAGGTAACAGAAACCATTCTTGTTGAAAAGGAATATAATCTGGAAACAGAATATAACTATCCAAACCTAAGTGCAAGCAACAGTGAGATGGAGAAACTAAAGGAGGAGCATGAGAAGATGATGGAGAAATTTAGAATGGCAACAGAGAATAGAAAAAGAATGACAGAGAAACTGAGGAAAGAAGGAGGACCTCAAGGAGTCCATGAAGAATTTGTTGCAGAAGAAGCAAACAGACAACACAGCCTCCCACGTATGAATTGGCAGTCCCCCACTCAAACTAGAGACCAAAAAACAGATAAGGTTGTAAGGGAGAGTACAGATATTCCAACAAAGAAAGGTAGTCAAAATGACATGTATACAAATGAAACTGTTGGAGTGAAGACAACACATAAGGCAGAGACAGTGGATGATGTTCTTAGTGATGACGAAGGGTGTATAACACCGCCCACCTCACCAGTTGCCATAGAAACAGAGATACCATCACAAGACATCAGTGTGCCACTCAGGTCAAGGTTGCAGCATCTTAGTAGAGAAGCAGATAATCATGTAATGATGAATGGAAATGCTGATCTGTCTGAGAATGTCCAACGTGAGATTCACGAGAATGGAGGGCCCAGTTTAAAGCTAGATCTGAGTGCCATCACTGGAGAGCCAGATTCACAGCCAATTACTAACCTCAGCAATAATCAAATAAAGCAGAAACTTGATAAGCTTCATAAAGAGAGGGTCCAGATAATTGAAATGCTCTCCTTGAACTACCTCCCTGCCAGTTTTACTGTAGAACTTTTGGAAGCTAAACTGAACTACTGCATAGGTCAAACTGACCTTATTTTGAAGTCTTTAGAGGATCATTGGGACAGTGACAAAGAGAGAATGAGTACAATATACCATCCAAACATCACAAGAGAACATCTGACCATGTACAGAAATGAGCTACAGCAGTCCAAAACAGACATTGAAATGTGTCGTGAGAAAATGCAGAGAAAGCAGGGAACAGGTCGAGGTAGGACTAAAGGAAGGAACAGGGATTTCTTGAGGATGAGGAGGAATGCTGAAATAGAGGCCTTCAAGGTTGAAAGAATGCTGGAACTTCAGAACTATGAAAGATCACAAACCCTGCATAATTTGAACAATTCCTTTCAGGAGTCTTTGCCAGAGAGAGGCTCCAGAAGTGTTAGTCCTACTTCATCTGTCCATTCCTCCTCACAGTATATGACTCCAAAACAACACATGGATCATTTAGTCCATCTCCGTAAAGAGCTTGTCAAACACACAGAGGATCCAGACTTCCTGAACAGGATTAGCAGGTCAAGTTCTCCATCTCTGCACCACAGGACTACATCATATCCCAGCCCAAGACTTCACCATGACTACCTCTCACCACGGTCCGCAAGTACTCAAGACAGATTCTTTGACTCAGAAACCCAGGTATATGATAGCTACTCAATGTACTCACCTCGAGAGTCCACCTTCTCTCCCAGAACATCCTACCACAACCGACAACTCAACTACTCACCTAAGATAGCTTTTTCTGTGGCAGATGAGCTGCCCTCTTCTGTTGACTATGGCTATAGTACCTACCTTGTTCCTCCTCGACCCAGGGATAGGGATTCCCCCAGAAGTGTTTCCTCTGACTCCAGACCTCCCAGCAATACTCTGCACTCCCCTACCCAGCTGTCCACTGGGTCCATTTCACCAGAGCCCAGATTTCGACCAGTGATGGACCATTCACTGGACCATCAACTAGAATCTAGAAACTACTACACAGGCAGTGAGAGTCGACAGCTGCTCCATGAGATAGAACAGATTCGTCTTCAGAACAGGACAGAGATCCAGAGAGCTCAACACATACTGGACTCTTACAGCAAAAAACCATCCAGTGTTAGGTATAGTCAAATATATTATTTCAGGCCATCTTTATGAAATTGTTTGTTTGCCCTCTCCTGACTGACTGGCTAAAATTAGCCCAACTCAAAAGTTTTTTTTAAACCTCCATGAAACGATTATTTTTTAATTCATTCTGGAATTTTCTCATCCCATTAACAACTATTTTAGTTTTAGTAATACTTCAATTTAAATAGATTTTCAAAATTCAGCTTGATGTTCCTGAAAAAAAAAAAAATGTACCCACCTACCTAAGAAACCAATTTTTTTTTATCCTGAGTCGAAAGGGTAAACAAACATTATTTTAAAGATGGCCTCATACAATTTTCTTTTCTTTGGATGATTGCTGAATGACAACTTTAATGCTTTATGAATTTTTTTCATGAAAAAGAAATCACTTAGTTTTTAATTTTATTACAGTAAAACATGCTTATAGCAAACACACTTGTAATGAACTCCTCTGTACAGCAAAGTGATTTTCATTCTCTTGGTTTTAAAATGTATTTTGAATAGAACGGATATAACAAATTACATTTATAATGAATCAAAATTGTTGGTCCCTGGCTATAAGCATGTTTTACTGCATTTATAAATAGAAGTATTCTCATAAAATTCACTGAAAAGTTCTTTCTAGTTAGGAAAGAGGATATTCTATATTTTGACTCTGTTTTTAGGAACTCCCATATGAGTGTCGATCGTCCGAGTTCAATGCCTAGACATCCTTATTCTTCCTACAGTGACTACGCTTCAGATCTGCTGGATGCCAGTCACCGCAGCATATCAGGCACATTGTGCGGAAGTTACGAACTTTACGAGAAGGAAGTCAGCAATCTGACTTCACGTCATAGACCGTCGTCACCAGGGTCAGTGATATCAGACGTTGGAACGTATCATGGAATTGATCCAAACAGAATTCGACCAATCCAGTCCTCAGATATTAAAGCCAAGCTAAAACGACGACACACGACTCGAAGGTGACAAGCTCAGGAAACAATGGATGACTTGCTTATCTGTGATATTTTATGTTGGTGCCAAAGACTTATCTTATAAAGTTTCATTTGTTGTGATTTCATTGTACTTTGTTCACATGATCATTCTCTTCTGTTGGATTTTATGATGAATGGCCGAGCTGATTTACAACATGATGAATCTCTTGCATTCAAAGGTAAATTTATATGAAATTGTAGTGCTTGTTGATTTCATTATCTTTTGTCAGCTGTATTTTTCATCATTTTCGGATTGAAAATAAAAGTTACTGTCAATGGTTTTAAACATTAATTTCTATACACATGTAAGACTTTCATAAATAGTACTTGGATTTAACATTTTTAGTTCAAATAAAATCTTTCTTATCTTTCAGGTCCTGACAGATGATGAATCGGAAAAAGTGAGACAGTGGAGAGATACTGATGCAGACAGATCTTCCTTCTCTTCTGTTTTTCTTCATTGACTATTTTGGATCTATAGATAAACTGATGATTTGATCACATTGAGGAGGAATTTGTTGTGATACTTGTGTGTATTATGGTGCTATTGGTGCTCAGATGTGCTATTGACCAATCATTTGTTCTGAGAAAAAAGTTTATAGTGATAAATATTTTTTAGTAATAATTCTAAATGTTTATAAGAATATTACTCACATTTTATTTGTTTGTAAATTGTGTTTCTTTGAGAGAGTCTGTTCTCCAGGAATCAAATCTCTATTTATTTTTAGCTGGGTAAGTTTTTAGATGTTGTTAAAGTAATTGTTAAGAAAGATGTTGCAGGTTTTATTTTAAATATTTGTTTTTAAATCTGTGATGTTGATGATTCCTTCCAAATATCCACTAAACTTTATCTAGTCAAAATAATCTGTGTTAACTCTGTTCAGTCTTTGTGGATTATGATTTGTACACTCTAATTATAAGCTCTGTATCCTATTACGGAATATTTTTTTTTAACAAAATCATGTCATTTTTATGAAAATTCAATGTATTCCTCAATTTCTTGATATTGAAAATCATGATCATATTTATTTTTTTGCCTCTAATGCTGTTCTTGGCAGCTTTCATTTTTTGCCGTCCATTCAGAATTAAATTTTTTGACAATGTGTAGGTCATTTTATATATTTTTTGCTAGGGCATTTTCATTCATGATTATTTATTTACATAACTTCATACTGAGTAATATGTACTCCTCCGTATCCAAGTGTAGAAAAAGTATTGGTTCAAAATTTTTAAAATTTTATTTATATAGTGAAGTTAAATCTCTAGTTTTCAGATTTTGGTGCATGGTGAAATAATTCTCATACTGAAAACCCCTTTCTTACAACTTCCTTAAGGACAACAATCAATTACTCAATTATATTACTGTTAATATGTTTTGTGTGTTAATATATGCAAATGTTCATTTTTTGCATGAAGTGGACAAAAGACAATGCTAGTGACTTATTCTCAAGGTGTTAAGGTTTGTCTAGTGACAATGAATATGTTTTTTAATCAAGTTCTCAAAGTGTAATCTCATAAATACCATCAAATGAAATTCACCAAAATATAATAATTCATTTTGTGTGAAAATATAAAGTTATTAAACAGTGAAAACAAATTTATTGTTTTGTGTTCTGTTGATATGGAGAAATAAGTTATTGTTCTTTTTCCGCTTGCAGTCCTTAATACCACATCGGACTAGGTCAATATAAATACAAACGCTTGGAGATTTTATTGAGAAAATTTGACATGAGGCTGAAGAAAGACATATCATGAAACTTAATAGAGACACGAAGGCAAGATAACCATCAAATTTTGTTAAGCTGATTAGTTTATCAAAATTGATTTTGGCATGGCCCTAGGAACCTCGGGAATAAATTTGCCGATATGTAGTATACTATAGAAAACAAAGCTACTTTATGGATATGCCACCTCAGTAATTACGTCTGATGACTTTTTTTTCCCTGTCAAGGAATTTTCCTTAATTGGTAGTTCGCACCCAAATTGAAAATATATGGTTTTGTCCCCCCCCCCCCCCCCAACTGACATTGCTTCCTACAGGGTAGTAGTGAAACTAGCACGTTTCATATATATGGTTTAAAATGTTTTGCATATACTAGCTACACATATGGCTTTGTCATTTGATCGAGTCATATGACCATGTTTCCATCTTCAGAATTTCTGTAAGTAGTCGTCAAATCAATGCACTTTTAATGAGAGACAAAACTGCGCTTTGTACGCTGATGAGGAGGCAATTTAACATACATTATGTATTCAAGCTGTTTCAAGTCATACGATACACAAGTTTCTAAATGAGGTTATTCAAACTATAAATGCTTTCTTTGTTACGTCCTCCCAATGTCAAGGTTTTGTGATTTCGGAACTCCACACACATTTGTTGCACCATTGCAGAAAAAATACACAACCCGCACTAGCATGTTATCGTACATGTCTGTAGATTTCTGAAATTGTTCAACGGCTAATCCTCATACCAAACAAAATATACATGAAACAAAACTGTTAACGCAAAACTTAGTATTTTCATCTGCAAATGCATCTACCTCGATCATGAGTAAATCTACGTTTACCGATTTCAATGAAATATTAAACATTACAAAATAGGAGCAGAGCAAATACGGACCTCTAAGACATCAGAGGTGGGATCAGGTGCCATGGAGGAGTGAGCATCCCCTGCCGACCGGTCACACCCGCCGTGTGCAACTTGTCATGATCGGGAAATAACGGAAAAATCCGTCGATAATTCAGTGAGTAAATAATGGCCTAACAATTAGTATGAAAAAGAAAGTCAGTCAGCATTTGACTTAATGAAAGGTTGTATTTGCTGACAAGGTCATTGTATCGACCATAGAACTTACGAAATGATGACTTTAAACGAGACTGCTGATATTCTTGTTTAATTAACTTGTTTGTCAATAACTTGCCTCGTTTTAGAAATTGTTCATACGTAGAGCATACATACGTAGAGCAACACTCTCAAATGACACTCTTGAACGCAAACTATTTTCCTGAAGTTAATTGCGCAGCACCTTTAAAAAATTGTTCGCTGATATAAGTATCAATTTGAACTACCGTTTATCAACTTTCAAAATTATTAAATCTTATCCAAATTTTGTTTTGATCATTGCAAATTCTTATCATGACTTAAACATGTTTAATAAGTTAATCACAATCAAAACATGAATGCTGTTCGTAAATTGTGTATCTTTTTCTTGGCTAAGTGATTTCTTCCATTTAAGTTAATTTTCCCACTTTTAAAAATTGATTGTTTATTCTATTTAATATGAATAATGTTTATATCATATATGATCAGATATTACATGTACGTGTAAAGTCAAGGTTAATATGTTGTATATATATATAAGCTGCACAAATCTTTTATTGTGCAACGACCCATCATGTCTTATGTAATGTGGTCACCATATATTATAAATACATGTCGCATAGCATGCAAAGACTCATTGTTTATTGTCCTTTGTCTTTATATGTCATCTTTTATCATACATTATATAATTGTCACTTTATGCTGGAACCTCAAGAATTTTATGAAACATCGTAGAAATATATTTCATCTTTGTCGTATATTTTCAGGAATTATCACTCCTGAAACGGACCAAAAATTACGTGTTACAAAAGATTGGCGCTTAACGATGGTGGTCAGAGAGGTTGAAACAGCGATGACGGCCCTGTTTCTCAAACGATATTAAGCAAAATGTCTACATGTCGCCTTGTAGTTATTTTGCCTTCGCATCCGTACTCGGTCCATCACACTTCCGGTTGTCACAATTTTACGGTACAATCTCGCAATAGTCAAGTATTGCCTATTGAGTGTCGTGTTTACTCAATAACAGACATTTTTACATTCCTTAATTTAGCCAAAGTACTTTCCAACTAATAAAAACAACACTTTTTGAATTGTTTTATTTTGAACCAAACACCTTGCAGACATCATACCATGCTCTTCTTTGGCCAAACGCTGCATTTTTTTTATAATGAAGAAAAATTTTAAAATAGGAAATCTCAACTACCGCTCACTCTATCCCCAATCTCATTCCTTGTCCCTTGTCTCCCTCTCTCTCCAATCTCTCTACACTCCCATTCCCTGCTTTCCCACCACTCTTATTCCCTCTCTTCCCACTCCCTCTCTCTTAATGTAACAGAGACATTTATGTGCCTCTGCTGCGGATTGAACCCGGGGCCTCAGTCCAGTGCTCTACCGATTGAGCTAAAGGGATAACCCACTAGTCCAAGGTAGTAGGTAGCCATGCATCTGACACTACCACATTGTCCCCCTCCAGAGTATGAAAAGTCCTCATCTCTTTTGGAGTGCCGACGCCTGTGGGGCGAAGTTCTGGGGGCAATCACTTTCACCAGCCAGAGAACACCCGGGTCCCAACGTGGGCGCCAAATGTAACAGAGACATTTATGTGCCTCTGCTGGGAATTGAACCCGGGGCCTCTGGCTTACCAGTCCAGTGCTCTACCGATTGAGCTAAAGGGTTAACCCACTAGCCCAAACAAGTAGGAAACCGTGTATCTGACTACCACATTAATCCCACTCCCTCTCTCCCCATTCCCTCCCAACCCCGCTCCACTCCCTCCCCCCTCTCCACTCCCTCCAGACTCCTCCTCTCCACTCCCGACCGACTCCCCATCTCCACTTCCCTTTCTCTCTCTCTCCACTCCCCACTCCACTTCCTCCCTCCCCACTCCTCCTCTCTCTCCCCTCCCTCTCCACCTCCACTACCACTCACTCTCTCCTTATCTCCCCGACAAACCCTTTCTCTACTCACTCATTCACACTACCCCAACTCTTACTACTGGGGACTCCTAACTCTTATTAAAGGGGACTTGACTACTGCATTGCAGTTAACATTTTACTACTATCTCTAAACATACTACATGTATATATATATGAAAAAATTAGTTAAAAGTTGTAGTGTTGTAGGTCTGAAAATTACAGTTATCGCCAAAAATTACAATAATGCTTGAACAGATGCAAATAAAACCACAACCTATGGCACTTAAAAATTATATTAAACATTCTTGAAAAATTAATTTGCCTAAAAAATATATCTGTAGTTTTTTCCATGATGTAAACCAATTAAACTTTCAAAACGTTTTTACAACGTTTATCCGAAAGAACAAAGCCACTACATGTTAGTAACAGTTAATAAACCACCGATTACACTTTACATTTACTTTTGCCTTATAGTGTAATATAAGTGGTAATTAAAATAAAGATTTGTGGCATGATCTATTCATACATGTTTGTTCATACATAGGTAGCAAATTTATCTTAGACTAGCTTTATTGGCTGTACTCTGCTACACTAAATACATCTACATAAATATTAGAAAAGAAAATCTGGTATTCATCGTTAAATTGTATGTACTAGTAAATGAAAATAATTTTATATATTTATCGAGATTATGCTCCTAAGACCAGGCAAGATTTGATTTTGTATTATCTGCTGTATGGTTGTTTTCTACTGACCATACACTGAAATATGTACGGGTCTTTTTGAAGGGAAGTGTAAATTCGTTAATTATTGGGTCAATATTGTACTTCACCTCAAGCCATATTGATATATATATATAAATACTGTTCAGTTTCTAAGAAGATTGCGTTCTGACATTTTTTATTTTATGTTTTACGTGATGCATTCCACACTATGATGGTTATTGTTTTTGTTTTGTTTTCGTTTTTTTGTTTGTTTGTTTGTTTGTTTTTTTTTTGTTTTGTTTTGTTTTGTTTTGTTTTTGGGGTTTTTTTTGAAGTCCTAAGGGGCAATAAATATAAATGTTAAACTCATTCACACATACACCCTTATTAAAAAAAAGAATAGAACTAAGACTGTTTTTTTGTCTTGTTGTTGTTTTTTGTGTTCATTTGCTCACAGGCACTTGGGGGCTGGACCCCCCCCCCCCTTTTCCATTTTTTTCTTTTTAAATCTGAGATCGAGACACCTTTTTCTTATTTTTGTATTCTAATATGCACTATATGTTTTCGATAATGTAATCCTTTTGTCTCAATAAGCTGTTTTTAAATATATCATTTTCGACTTATGTATCAGCCGAAAATGATATACAATGCAGTACATGTGTATTTCTTACAGGCATCGGGGGGTTGGGGGGGGGGCTGCCCCCTCCCCCATTTTTTCCAATGTAACTTTTTACTATTGAAAATGTTCATTGAAAGGCCGGTTGCCTCCCCCCCAACTTTTTGTTGCAGTATAGTCAAATAAGGGTAATGTAGTGTATGAATAAAATTTGGTACTGAAAGAAGTTGGACCCCCCCCCCCCCCCCTTGGTACTGAAATTTTAAGAAGTTGGAACCTACCCACCCCAAGAATTAGGAATTTTGAGTGTGATTAATTTTCCTTTTTTTCTGATTTGTTTTTTCTCTTGCCCCCCCCCCCCCCTTTCCACTTTCACACTCGGCACACCTCGGCCGAGTCGTATCTCATCTAAATTTTTTGATGAAGGTGACGGAATCAGCCGAGGTTTGCCAAATGACACTTTCAAAAACAATGCCACATTCCTGTCTTATTTTAAAGATATTGATTTAAAATTGCATAACTTGATAAGCAACCTATCATTGTTTCATTAGACATAATCCACGGAAATATTTCCTTATTTGTTAATTATAAACCTATCATTTATTATTATTATTTATTATTTTTTTTAGCAATATCTTTTAAAAAAAATCATTTCTATCACTTTTATATAAGGGACATTCAATCAGTGAATGATTCTCATTTTCCACACAATTCATGTCACACATTCTACAAATTCTTTCATTTAAATTTTCTTTCAGCTAGGAGGTGGTTTATTAACTTAGTAAATTACTAGTATATTATAGGAGATGAACTTCATATGCAATCCTTCTCTTTACTTTCTTTAGCAGTGTAAAGATTTTAACTTTGTTGTTGTTTTACAAACTCTTTAAGGTTAATTTATCCACAGAATATTTATTTAATCACCAGTAAAATAGCTAATTTTTATTCTACCAGAAAAAATTCTTTTCCTTGGGGTCGGGGGTGCATATATGGCACGCAGTACCAATTTCTTGCCATATCTACGGGGGTGGGGGATTTTACGTATGTACGTGTCCAAAAAAATCAAAAAATTCTATTTCTGGGAGGAAAAGGAGATTTTCGCATATTCTGGAGATACTACTAGTCTTTTCAGTGGGTAAAATGGACTAATATATGTATTATTAATCGAGATAAAACATTATTTTTTTTCAAATAAAAATCCGACTTAGTTCACGAACAAATGGTAACTATCCTCGTTTCCGGAAGTAAACAAATCCACGTTGTCTGAAATATGGTAAAAACCATTGCAACACAGGTAAATTTCTGTCTGGAGTGGATGATACCTAATCAAACCATATTTAGTAATTCTATTCTTTATCAGTTGTATTTCTCTTTCGCAACGCTGATGTCCCGTACAATAGGGACCTATCATTTCAACAGATTCGTAAATTCATTATTTTTATGCAGCATGTCCCTCTTGTCTCTCCTGCCAACTTTTATGCATAAATCTCTTTTTTCTTTAAATTTTATTCCTTTAATATGTTGACGGTGCGACCGTTGGGGCGAGCGCAGTGTTCACTTCATTATTATGATCCGCCTCTTCAAACCGCACGAGACATTTGGAACGTCTAGACTGTGACGTCACATGACGTCGTATGTTAGCTGCATTTGCATAAACAAAGTTTAAAAAGTGCAAATATTTTAACAAAGAAAATTTAATCTACTATCTGCATGCAATATCCATTAAATTAAGGTGAGTTTATTTTGTGTGAATTTTTAGTTGTTGTCACCGCGTGAACGAAGTTAGCAGCGAGAACAAGAAGCGATGCATTGTGGGTCAGAATTACCGCGGAAAAAAATTCTATTGAATGAATGTGCAGTAGTCCGAATTTTCTCTTCGCCCAGGCGTTGTCGTTAGAGCTCGCAGTGACGAGCGGCGCTTCGCGCCGCTCGCTGCGATCGCTATAATTTATGAACACTTACTACTTCATGTAATTGTCTTTACATGGTTTAAGTATTATTTAGAGAACGAGACAGGTACTGTATCATAGATACAAATTTGGGGGTGGACGAGTGCGTAGCACGAGTCTCCACCCCCAAATTTGTATCTCTATGATACAGAACCTGTCGAGTTCTCTAAATGATTTGTGACACGATCAATCAAAAAAAAGCACCGCCCACTTCATACCTGTGCAGCATCCAAACTTCCGCCATGCAGAGTTCATTTGTTCTTTCTGTAGATGAGGCCTCGACTGGGAGTATACATCCGCAGTATATATATTTCCACGGACAACGTAAGATTTAGTCAGATTAGTTTTGACAACGGGGTAGACATAACAGACTCGAAGTCAGTCTTAATTGATAAGGTGGACGATTTAACCTTGTTGTAGATGGAGATTGATCCTGATTTATTTCAGGGGTCTTAAAATCTCAGTTAACTAAAGATACACATACAGGCGATACAGACAGTTTTTCGATGGACTTTGATGTTACGGATTTTTATTTTCTTATTGAAATGCGACATTAAAAACGAAGTGAAAGAGATGTACGGCAGTCGTCAGTGATAAGGATTTAAGATGAAATTTAAAAAAACCCTGAAAAATGGACTTGAGTTTGCACGAGAAGAGTGGAAAATGGGGGGAGGGGGAGTGCGAATTTCACGTAATGTATGCTGCATCCGCGAACCCATTGGCTTTACTATTTTGAGGGGGACACAAAAAGCAGGGAAAGCAAACAGGTTTTCAGGAATTTCTCCAACATAGGATGTTTTCCATAATTGCGAATTTTCCTTTTCGTTTGAATCGAAATAACGTGTAGATCCTGTGTGGAATAATTTTTTAAAAAGTGATTGAGAAATTTTGACATTTTACATTCCTAAGGAAATATTTCTTCAAATTTATAATGGGAAAAAAATCAGCATTTACTATTTGTACATGCTTTTGATAAATTGAATCAGATTTATTTTTAGACCGTGCTGTATTTTAGATACAGAACAGTTGGCTAATACAAGACAGTATACAGGGCTAATACAGAACGGAAAGTAGCTCCACCCACTGTATTTCCGTTCTGTATTGCTAATACAGAACAGCAAACTTCAAAGAAAAACACCGCAATCGTGTCACAATTAGCTATACCTTAGAATCTTGAACTTAAGTTCTAGCATCTTTCATCATTCATGAGGCATATTATTTTTTTTTATCATTTTAGTAGCTGCTAATTTGTTTATTGACTGCAAACACATACACATATTACAACATGTATATATATAATTATATAAAATATTCTCCAACATATCCAAAGATTTCTTCAATTATATTATTTGAGTTAATTTTAATTTAATTGGCACAGCATATACATAACTGTTATATATGAATATAAATTTATAATTTTGTCTTTGATCAATGTATACAGCTTGAAGATCTAGAAATAAAGATCAGAGACTGTGATTCAAGGCTACAGACCATTGATGATATTCTACGACTGGAGGAACTTTCTGAAGTTAAGAGGTATCACTAATTACTGTGTATGTTAACGATTATACCTGGCAATTTCTAGAAAAATTTAATAATTTAAGTCAGTAATTCATTGCACAAACAGCTAATTCAAAAGCCAAATGCCACCCTATGTGTACAGAGTAAAAAGCAGTTACAGCCAACATGCTCATTATGATTTTGTGATAAAGCAAAGGGATTTTCATTTCTTGTAGTGTGCTAATAACAACTTATTAGATATAATGAATAACATTTTTTTTAAAAATCAAAATTGTTTACTCCTGGCACTTTGCTGTAAGTGTATTTTTCTGTATACTGTAGGTCTGTAGCTCACTGGTCTAAAAAAAAAATCTAATGGATGAAGGGTCATTCATCTAGGCTATTTAAAACCAGTGAGCTGAAGACCTGCAGGGAGTGCCTATACATGTCCATTAATTAAAACATCCTTTTAGCAAAGTGTCAGGTATGAACAATTTTGTCAAATTGGTACAGTGGCTGCAACGTTATTGTTGACAAACCAATCGTGTAGAATCGTTCGTGTAACGTGTGTGATTGTTCGTGTAACGTGCGAGATCGTGCATGTATCAGACTCAATCGTTTGCGGTTTTAATCGTGCGTGATCGTGCGTTAAGAAACGTGTAAACTTCGTTTTGTAAGTTTTTATCGGAATGTTATTTGTTATACAAGCATTTCGCTTGTCTGTTTTTTTTTTTAATCCAAATAAAATAAATGAAGCGTGAGTTACATAATTGAAAGCAGAACGAACTAATTATCGCTTGGAAATAAGCAATATAGTAAGTCGTAGAATATTGTGTTCTCGTCAAATAGCGTGATTTTTTGTGATAAACCGTACTTATATATGTTTAAAGATTTTTTCTCTGATGTTGATTATGTTTACTGCTAATTATGGTCAAGATATTTTTAAAATCAATAGTTCAAAAATTGATATTTTTACAAATAAATAAATAAACAATTCTCAATGCTTACATAAATATTTAGTCGGCAAATGTACATGTACGCGACATGATTGTCGGGGTTTCGTTTATCAGTGTTTATCTCTGGAGCTTACTTTTAATTATTTTTATAATTTTTGCAAATAAATGATTTGTAAAATAATTGTTGACTTTAGAGATTCACAAATGGAAACATGGAAATAACTTATAATTCAATTCATTTTCATGCCATTTTTTTCAAACTTATCCCTTTCTGTATATTATGAAATCAAATTCAATCAAAACTCATGGTCCACCTACATGTACATCTACTGATAGAACGAAAAAAAACCCAGTTTTCTTAAGTCGGAGAATTACGTAAATAATTATTTGTAATCTAAGATAATTAATAAGTTTTACATGTATTTAGTTCCAGAAATATCCATTTCTATTTTTTTTTTTCATTTTTCAAAGTCAATGAAATAATATCAATAATTATTTGAAATCTACAATAAGTATTAAGCCTTAATTCGTTTTGAAAATATCCATTCCTAAAGAACTTGAACTATTCTGCGTGAAGAATCGTGCGTTTGCGTTAGCAATCGTGTAAGATCGTGTAACATGTAGAATCGTGTGCGTGAAGGATCGTTCGTGTAACAGATTTTATCGTGCGTTAATCGTGTGGAATCGTTCGTGTAACGTGATCGTTCGTGTAAGTTGTCAACAATAACGTTGCAGCCACTGTACCACCTAGTTTTGCATGCCATTAACCTCTGCTCACAAAAATGGAATGTCTGTAATTAAGAAAATTTCATTTAGGGATGTCAATATCAGAGTTATGTCCTTTACTAGTGCTTCTTGATACCTTTTAATTTCTGTCAGGTCTAGTAAGAGATCAGATCTGTATATATCCCCTTCAGAAAATGATCTGTGAAAGGACCTGAAAACCATCCATTTTGTTTATGAACTTATTTGTACTAGAAAATGAACTACTTTTATACATACTAGACAATTTTGACAAGATCTGATTTTGGGAGTCAGGTTAATTTGGTAATTATCAAAGAGATAGATATTCCATTGAAAAATGTATCCACCAATAACAATAAGTAAAACCCCTTATGGATATTTCTACAATAAAAGACTGGTTAAAGTATCACTATATTTTCATCTTAAATCTTGATATATTGAAAAAAGAATAAACTGTAAATTCCAAATAGGTGAATAACCTATTTCAGCAGGAATGACAAGCCAGTTTATGGAATTGATGTATCTGGCATACTAAGCCAAAGTTCAGACCATCTGAGCTAATGAAACAAAAAAAAATAACCTATTTACTTTGTAAACTGGGTGATGCTGCATGTTTTGTAATAAAATATATATTAATGTTTTTTTTTTATTATCCTCCAGACAGTCTTTACATGAGGAAGAGAAACAGATTAAAAAGAAACTCTCGACATTTGGTAAGCATTTACAGTTAACTATGTTTCTTTTCAAAATACAAGATAAAAGCCATGATGGATATACAGCTTATAGAACTTCTGTATCTTTAACACCGATATCTCAAATACCTAAGATTTGTCAAAGTGATCTGGAAGTTCCATCTGCTTATTCTTTAAGTATTTTACCCTCGATATCTGGAATCCTCTGATATCTTGAAGTTTTTTCTTGGTCCCTTCGAGTTTGGAGATAATGAGGTTTAACTGTGTTAACAAAAATCCACATTACATCCTAGGAAAAAGAAATCTATTAGTATGTCATACATGTTGAAAATGTTTTATAGTGGGAAATGAAATTTTTTCCAGGGCAAGATTTTATTGTTGAAAAATGTTATGATTGCTTGAACCTTTCTTTGTGTGGTAAGAAAGCAGAGGCAGTACTACAGAATTATTAAGGTTGAATAATAATGCAATTAAAAAAAAAATGTTGCCAAATCTGTATTTCTTATTTCTGCATTGTTAATACTTTTTTGGGGTGGGGGGGGGGGGGGGGGTGTATAGACTAGAAGGCTTCCAATCCAGTAAGAATTAGAAATGAATTTTTGAAGTTCATGGTGGAATATCTTGGGAGGACCCTTTGTCTCGAAAATTAAGGCTACCCTAAGCATCTTTTGACCATTAACACTAGCAATATTTATTATATATGAAGTGTAACAACAAATGACCCTATATCATATGTGTTTTCACATTTCGGGTACAGCTGTACTGAAAAAGACACCATTAGTCAACAGAATTAAATGTTAAATGATTCATTCTGTTGTGTCTGTCATTAAAATAATTACTTATTGATAAACTATATAAACATACAGAAATATCAAAGTTCTACTTACTATCATAATGATACACTTGTTCAATATAAATTTTAATTGACAGTGAATCATTTTGTCAAGGAGATAAATATAAGATTTGAGAGACATATGAAATGGAAAACAAATATTTGGTCAATTTTTATTTTGCTCTATGCCTTTTTTTCAGAGGCTGAATTAAAAGATCTTCGTAGAGAAAACAGGAAGACAATGCTAGTATCTGTATGTCTTGTGGGGATGATGTATCTAGTTTACTGTTTATTGTGGCAAACATAGTCTCATATTGTGTAATTCAATCTTTCAGTCATTTTGTTAACTATGCAAAATAATATATTGTACATTAATGGCTATCAAAGGCATTTGATTAATTATTTAAACTTGATATATATGTATAGTTATGGTATGATGACCAAAAATAGATGCACTCCTTAATTAAGAAAATAATATCTGAATCTAATTTTAGAAAGGAGGTTAAAAGTTTCATTTTTATTACATTGATTACAAAGATTACATGTATATTGTTACATTGATTACATACATGTACATCGTATATTGTACAATGTTCACAAATCAATTGATGAGGTTTTGCAATATGCAAAAGGTTACAGTTACAACATACTCCATTTCATTGTAAATTAATTTATGTACTTGAACTATGCAATATCAATTGTTGTGTTTTTATGGTAATTGTATGCATTTATTTATGAAATTTAATCATGTACTGTGTTTTGTTCTTTCATTGAATGTTCACATACCTCAGTACCTTTAACTGGAGAGGTAGGAGGGTGTATGCTGCAAACAAAAAAATCTTTAAAAATTGCCGCCCCCCCCCCCCCCTCCAAAAAGGAAATGAAACACTAATATCTAAGAATAAAACGTTTATACCAATGTCATTCATGTTTATGAGTTTGGGACCATTGTTTTCTGTGACATTTACAAGGTTATTATAACGATATATCAGATGTCTTGGCCTAATGGTAGTGTACTTACATGTGTATTTGAATCGCCTATATCATCACCAATAATAGAAAAAAATAATTTTGTAGGTATTTATTTGGAATTTAAGTGATATATTGTAGTCTTCAAGTTGCCACTTGTCATCATTTTGAAAGAGTGTCAAGACTGTTCTTTTTGAACAGATTAAAATATTAAACATTATTACGGCAGTTTGCTTTTGCTCCTTACAAATTTCCTTATAATTTAGATGTATATAGTGCAGGACTGCAAACCATTGGCATGAAGGGACTCTACACTCGCTACAGCATAGACTGGCTATACATGTGTAGATACCAGCATGTATGACTTGTAAAATTATTTGGTTTAAAAGAGAGAAAAACAAGAATGTATTGTTTTATGAAATGAATTTTTGATCCCGTTCACGTATGCTTGATTCAAATAACAATTGTTTTAAGGGTTTTTTTTTTACTTCCTCATTAAAGATGTGTATTCTTAAAATGGTTTATACTATGTGAAGGGTATTAATTTCTGCAGTTCTGCGAATTTTATGCTACTGATTCAAATTCATTATTTTTCATGTTTTTTTTTCGTTCTAAAAATACAAGTTGTAAAAGAAAAATGTTTCCACATTAAATACATGTGTATATCTTTGCACTTGTTGATACTGCTTGAATGATGGTCTATTAAGTACTGCATTTCTATGGATTTTAAGTCCAGATGCACTTTGACACCGCTGCTGAATTTTGTGAGAACCCGGGTCTGCCTGAGTGAAAGTTCCATTCATTTTTGCATTCCTCAGCAACTGTGGACGTGACGCTCTCTAACTAACGAGTTCGGTGTGGTGCATTTTGTAACAGAGACTCATCCAATAGACAAACCATCAATATTGTTTTTGTTACAAAAACAACAAACAATCAAGAGCTATTGACATGCTTACATTAAAACCGGACATGCATACTATTCTTTGTTATGATGGAGACGTTGACACACGTCACAAAAACTCACTGATCTTAAAGTCGCTAAAAAGTGCGTGTAACTCTCCGGAAACTGTTGGATGGTTTTTAAGGAGACTACTTGATCCGTTCCCTCTACTTAATACAAGAAGAATCCTCCATAAAGATTAACATCATTTGTCAATGAGCGACATTTAGAGATGAATTTGGAAACCTGGAACGCTGGACTGTCCGAATTCTTGATTGGGAATAATATAGTGCTGGTTCTTTATCTGATTGTTGGAGTTTTCGGAAATGGTCTTGTTCTTTTCATCTACGTTGTACGAATGACTAAAAAGAGCGATGATCGTTACTTTATTCCTTCCCTGGCGGCGATTGACGTTTGTGCATGTGTCATTGGATCTTCGTACGCACTGGCCCTAAATCTCCTGCCCGTTAGATTTCCCGGGGATTTCCTCTGTCGCATTTTATGGTTCTTCAGTCAAGCTTCTACAGTGTCTGGAGGGACCCTACTCCTGGTCATCGCAATCCATCGCTACCTGAAGGTGTGTCGTCCGTTCTCCAATACCTGGTCGTTGAGGATCAAAAGACTGGTCATTTTAGGAACAGTAACTGTTGCTACACTTCTATCGATTCCTACAATTTTCTTGTATGGGGAGATACAAGTTGTTAATGATCGCTACAGTGATAACAATATTACTTTAGTAGGACACAGATGTGGCAACAAGGGTGAACCTTGGGCACTTTTAGGATACAATATATTTTTGTTTGTCTTTGCCGTCTCTGGGGTAGCCATTATTACTGTCTGTTATATTTCTATTGCAAAAACCATCTACAGTAAAGTCATGATTTACCGAAAATCGGTGAGACGAATAAACACTATTCCAAAACCTGAATTGTCAGTCTCAACCATTTCTGACATTAAACGAAAAAGTAAAAGTGTTGAATCTTGCAGTAATCATCAACATGAAGGAAATGGGGAGTTCCACGAAAATTCAATCGAACACGACCAAGAAAATAGCAAAGAATTTCAAAATACTCGCAAAAAAGAAAAGTCAAATCACAAGAAGAGAAGGTCTCAGGACATTTTATTGAATGCAAACATTCCAGCGATGAAGTACCACTTCACACATTACAGATACTCGTACATGTTTATGACAATAACCATTGTGTTTGTGATCGCTTACTTGCCCCGGATCATCATCATGTTGCTAGAGTCTATATTTGGTATAGAGTTTTGGAACAAACCGGACTCTGTTATAATAGGGTTGATGTTTTTGTACAGACTGTATATTCTTAATCACGTGGTTAACCCTTTTGTTTATGGTTTCTTTGATACCAGATTTCGACATGAAGTAAAACTTTTGCTTTGCCGACATAGGAAGGGGTCTCTTCACCCAGACAGTCAAACTGGCCAACGAGAGTGAAGAATAGACAGTCAAACAGGCCAATGAGAGTAAAGAATAGACAGTCAAACTGGCCAATGAGAGTAAAGAATAGACAGTCAAACTGGCCAATGCAAAGAAAGAATAGACAGTCAAACAGGCCAATGAGAGTAAAGAATAGACAGTTAAACTGGCCAGTGAGAGTAAAGAACATGAATATCAAGGTGGTGTGTTATGAATTATTTCATTCTTAGAATAAAAGGACAGAAGTCTGGAATTCAAAACACATCCATATATATAATAATATGATTTACTATTATCCCCCTGGCTAGTTTTCATGATGTGAATTGACACTAACACAAATTTATATCTGGATTATGTCACAATTTTCTCTGTATAATTTGAAATGGTCATTAATGTTGATACACAGCAAAAAGTTTTTGACGTTCTGAGAATTAATTAACATTAGCCTTTGATGAAGTTATGGATAAAATCCACTAGATATCGTGTACAGCAATGTGTGGTATATCTTGTTTCCTTTTTATGCTGAGGGAGTATGCAGCTCTTCGTTAGGAATATTGTGCTTAATGTCGTAAAGAAACACGAAAACACGGGAACAGATTTTGTGCAAACTGCAATAAAGGACGGAAATGTCTCTTATATGAATTTTTCCTATTTATTAAAAAAAAAAAGTGGTGGTTTTTTTTTTAAAGTAATGCAATTTGGATTAACTTAATTTTAATTGCTTCAAAACAAACCAATCAACCAGATTTGTTTCCTGTACATAAGTTCATTAGTTTCCAGTGTCCATTAAATTGATACAATACAAGTATTATTAATTATTAACACTATATTGTACAAAGAAATTCAAAAGTGGAAAAGGAGACTTCAATGATCGCAGTCGGACTGGTCGATTTAAATCTGTAGGGACACCAAAATATATCGATGCTGTGAGCAACATAATCTATGAAAATGCCAGAATTACATTGAAAAATTCTGCTAAGACGCTAAACATTTCACCACCACAACAGATTATAAAGTTCTGACAAAAGAAACGAATCTAAAAATATTTCTGTTAGATGGGTGTCTTATTTCCCTCCAGATGCCTAAAAGAAAACACGAATTAAATGTACCAAGGAATCTATTTTTAAGCAAGAGGTCCATGGGCCACATCACTCACCTGAGCACATTGGCTAGGAAAAATCAGAAATCAGTTCAGTATTGAAAAGTTTACTGGGGGTGAAACTGAAATTTACACTACTTCAGGATGCTTCCTTATCAATATTACTAATCATGACATTGCTGTTCTTAAGCAGAAGCATATTAAAGATTTTTCCCCTATGTATTCCGATGTAAAACTCTGATCTATCATTGTGGCCCAACCCTACCCACCCTATATTTGAACAAAATTGAACCTACTCTGCCTGAGGATGCTTCTATAATAATATGACTAATCATGGTTTTGCTGTTCTTGAGCAGAAGATTTTTTCAAGATGATTCCTATATATTCTTATGTAAACTTTGACCCTCTGTTGTGCCCCAAACCTCGGGGGGTCATAATTTGAGCAAACTTGATTCTACAATGCTTAAGGCTGCTTCTGTATAAATATGACTAAAATGGCTTAGTTGTTCTTGAGATGAAGACTTTTAAAGATATTTCCTATGTAACATGTATGATCAGGTTCTTACAAGGGATATATAGGTTTTTCTTTTACTATGACTTAATGATTGGAATGATTATTAAGACCGCTCTGTCTGAGGGTAAATAACAAAGTTGTTCTCTTATCTAGAGATAAGAACCTCTTCAGATTTACTACAGCCAGAACTTAACCTCAGTTCCCTAGGATACTTGCCACTGGTGCTTATATATCTTTATACTTTTATTTTGCTCTTACCCTTAACTTCTTTATTGCTAACCGGTCACGGAAACCTAGTGATAGGGCCTTCGCATCGTGATCGGAGGGCCCGGGTTCGATTCATAGGGGCTTGTCTTCCGGATTGTTAAATGTAAAATAAATTAATAAAATTTAGAATCTACTTTTAATACACTTAAAAGTTGTTAAAATAAAAGATTCTGACACTTTCAGTCAAGAAAAACTACGTTTAAAAAAGATGTACAACACCTAATTATATGTAATAGTGATAGTTTTATGTTGTTTTAATTATTATGATATTCAAATGTATTATTTATTAATTATACATTTATGAATATGCCACAACTGATTTTAAACTCTGAAGTGCATGTATTAATCTGTGTCAATCATTATTGACAAAGACAAATAATTTAAAATCAAATATTAATAAAATTCAATAAAATAATTTATCAAATAAAATAATTAAATAAATCAAATAAAACAAACTAATTGAAATAAAATAAACAATCGGCTAAAACTTTAGATCCACCTCTTGTTTTATTTGATTCATTTAATTGTCAGAACGTGGGCGCCATTTTTGTAACAGGGGTCAGGTAAAGATGATAAATAACCACGACACCTGCGGGTTCGCTCTGTATTAATTTATTTTACATTTTACAATCTAGAAGACAAGCCCCTATGGAGTATAGGTCTAAATTGAACCCTTCACTGGTATATGGTCAAGTCTCTATATGAGTGAAAAATTCTCGAATGGGACGTAAAACAACATACAATCAATCAATTAAACTCTTTTGCTGATTCAAACGGCCAACTTCTTCAGCTATCTTATGAATGCCTAACTTTCCCAAAGCTTTGCTTTATATACCCTTTGGCTACTTCATTTTAAGAGTTGTCAGGTCATTCATCTATTTGAAATCTTCACATCGTTTTACGTAAATGCCCCTTAATCATTACACCTATATATTCCTATGTAAACTTTGACCCACTTTTGTGGCCCTGCCCTACCCCGGGGGTCATGAATTGAACAAACTTGAATCTACACCAGCTGAGGATACTTCTATATTAACATGACTAATAATGGCTTAGCTGTTCTTGAGAAGAAGATTTTTAAAGATATTTCCTATATATTTCCATGGTACACATTGACCCATTGTTGTGGCCCTGTCCTACCTCCAGGGGTCTTGATTGGAACAAACTTGAATCTACACTACCTGAGGATACTCCTATAATAATGTTAATAATGTGACTATTCATAGCTGTGCTGTTCCCGAGAAAAAGATTTTTAAAGACATTTCCTACATGTTCCTATGGTAAACTTCGACCCCTCTTGTGGCCCCGCTACTCCCGGGGGTTATGATATGAACAAATTTGTGTCTAGAGTATGTAATATTGCTTTCACATAAGTTTCATCTTTTCTTTCCGAGTGGTTCTTGAGAAGAAAATTTTTAAAAGATGCCACCAAATTTTCACGAATTCTTAATTATCTTCCCTTGAAAGAGGGCGTGACACTTCCTGTGAACAATTTTAATTCCATTCACTCAAAGATGCTTTGTGGCAAGCTTGGCTGAAATTGGCCCAATGGTTCCTGAGAAGTCGAAAATGTGAAAAGTTTACAGACGCCAGACACTCTTTTAGAAATCTTACTGGACAGAGCTTCTATATCAAAACTTCTTATGTTGTCTACGGAATAGAATGTACCCTTTGTTGGATTTTTTTTATGTTGGTGATACCAAGGTTAACTTAATAAAAGAATATCGGGGCATAGATTTCAAATTAACAACGGGGGTCAGCAGCTTCTATACAAGCACTTTAATTTACCCGATCATTCTATTTTGTCAATGAAAGTTAGAATTCCAGAAAAGATTAACCATCATACTAATAGCCCATCATTGAGTACACCTTTCCGTGGACAACGAGAAGAATACTGGATTAGAAAACTAGACAAGGCCTTTCCATACTATAGCAATGACAATGTCGATAGTGTTTGGAATCTTTCAAGTCCACAGTGTAGCAATGTGAATGAGATGGGACATTTTAGCAATACACAGGGACATAAGCGTAGTCATGGACATCGGTCTTACAATAAACCTACTATCTGCTTTGATCCACAAGAACTTTATATAAACAGTTACATGTAGGTCTTAATCACATTCGTACCAAACTTTACTCTGTCCCTTTGAAAGTTTTAAATAGTCTATTTGAAAAAAGGCAACGAAACTCCATATTTGGATAATTCGACACCAGAATACAGGCTCGGATCTGTGATTATGGATATTGCAAACAGTCTGATTGCCAAAATCAATATTGTACAGGACAACAATAATGTAATTTAATTTTGCTTCAATTAAAGCTTATAAATAGTTCTTCGAACTCAAATATACCGTTCACGGTAGGTCAGTCGGTAGAGCGCTCGCTCCGTGATCGGGAGGTCGTGAGTTCGAATCTCGGCCGCGACTGACCTAAGTCGATAAAAAATAGGTAGCAACTGTTCCTTCGCCATGCGGTCGGCACTTTGAAGTGAAAGTTGCGGGTCTTTCGGATGAGACCTTAAAAACCGAGACCCCGTGTCACGGCAGGCGTTGGCACGATAAAGATCCCTCACTGCTCAATGGCCCTGAGTGCCGAGTAAAGGTCAAAATTTGAAGCCCTTCACCGGTATATGGTGACGTCTCTATATGAGTGAAAAATTCTCGAACGGGACGTAAAACAATATACAATCAATCAATCAATCAATCGAACTCAAATATGAACAACAAAAGTTTATTAAAGTTCTTTTTTTCTGTCACTGAAATAGTTAATTACAAATTTGCAACAAAAATTTCTGACATCAAAGTTGCAGCTCATATTGCTTTAATTAACATAAGTAATATTCTTAATCATAAAGGGTTGTAATCTTGTATTCCACCATATTCCAAGCTGAAGTCCACACCTTGTATTTCTTACAAATGTACATCGACAATTGCTTCAAAATTTTTTAATTATAAAAAAAAACACCAAAACGCTACAGTGTCTAATTATCGAACATCTGAAACATAATCCTCCAACGTGTTCATGTTTTCTTCTCCCTACAACTATATTCCTGCTGGGCACGCCACTACTGGTGACGTAAATATAGTTAATAATTAATGAGGACCTTAAATCACTAGCTTATTCTAAAAAGACCAAATTTAGGAAACCCCGATCATTCAACTAGCGTCATAATTTCATTAATATTATGAATTTGGTGGAAGATTACACCAGGCCATGGGCCACATTTGGAAAAAGGAAACCTTGACCCTTTGTCAGAATAGATTAAAAGTATCAGTTGGATGTTAAAATCTCGCATTAAGCGATTGATGGGCAATATAAAAACCATATTTCCTTCTGTCTTCAATAATTCACAAGTGAAAAAAGAATTAGATAGATTACACGATCAGTATATACTGGTTCCAGCTGACAAAGCAGGTAGTAACATTGTCTTTGTAAGGTTCATTATTTTGATCGTATTTTAGAGGAACTGGTATTTAATTCTGCTAGTGGTAATCTAACTTATACCCATAGCTCCCTTTCCAAGGAGGAAATTCTTCAAAATCTAATGTCAGTTTTAAATATTTTTAATATCACCAACAATCAAAATGAATTTGATTTACCATACCAATACTGGATTCCTTAAGTTCATCGATATCCTTACAAACAAGATACAAAGCGGACTCCAGAAAATGTTCTACCAAGCTTCTCTCTTTTCTCCTCACAGTAGTGAAGGAGAAACTTCAGGAATA